ACTTTCTTCTCTGTAATGGATGATACCAATGACTACTTTCTAGGGTTACTGGTTGGACAGAGTTGGAGATGTAGCACATAAAGGTCCACATACTGGTACAGAGAAGCTCTCGAAGATATGGTAACTGAAAAAGCAGGGGCAGAAGAATGCGACCCCTCTTGGGATTTTGGATAGAATTCGATTCTTTTGTAAAGTGTGAAAGAAAATCGGCCAGGCGCAGTGGCTCACGCCTGTAATCCCAGCACTTTGGGAGGCCGAGGTGGGCAGATCACGAGGTCAGGAGATCGAGACCATCCTGGCTAACACGGTGAAACCCTGTCTCTACTAAAAATACAAAAAAAATTAGCTGGGCATGGTGGCAGGCGCCTGTAGTCCCAGCTACTAGGGAAGCTGAGGCAGGAGAATGACATGAACCTGGGAGGCGGAGCTTACAGTGAGCCGAGATCGCACCACTGCACTCCAGCCTGGGTGACAGAGCCAGACTGGCTCAAAAAACAAAAAAACACTTCAAATGATGAGCCCCAACCCCCGAAGTTAACCTCCTAGCTCAGTGCAGGCCACACAGCAGGTGGTCAGTAAGCCCGGCCCCTTCCTTGCTAAACCAGTTGGCACCTGGGATGCAAACCTCCCTTCAGAAGTGCAGGGCAGGGCCATCACAGCCCTAGAGCAACATTCTGTCTTTGGCTTCAGGAATTCAGTTAATGGGCACCTGGCTGCCCCTTGCTCAGTGGGGCAAGCCGTGGCCTCGAGCTGGTTGGAGGCTCCAGTGCTCCTCCTGCAACAGGAAGTTTTAGGTCTTCTTCCTAACTCTCTGGGGGTCTTGGGCAAGCCACTTGGGCTCTCAAAGCAGCTGTTACTGTCTATAAGATAGCAGAGACCCCCTACCCTCACCCCCAACTCAGGAGAAGCACAGTCAAGCCAACTGCCACACATCTGAATTCTGACTCCAGGTCACTTTTCAACTGTAGATAGCGCCCCTCCCACTTAAGTTTCCAATTTTTGTTTCTCCCCTCCCCATTAACTTACTAGAAGTTAGGAAGCAATTTTGTTCAGCCTGGGAAAGAAGTGGGCAGATACGAGAGGGTGGAGGTTTTAAAAATGTAGTCATTCAATAAGGACCAGAAAAAGCCCAAGGTTTAGACAAAGCTGGTTCTGGGAGCCCCCCATCCCAAACACTGTCAGGTAAAGGGAAGTAAATCTTCACTGTAATGCCTGGGCTCTGATAACGGTGATTTCTCTTAGAGATGCTCTTTGAGAAATGCTCATCTAGAAACACCTTTTCCTGCTGCCCTGAGGGCACAAAAACTCAAAGAGCCAATTCCTTTCAATATCTCCCTTCCTGTAGATATCTCTAAAATTCCAAGGATCTTATTCAGAGGTAAGGGATGCTGGCAAAACACCTAGCAAACTTGAGAGTTTACGGATGTTAACTATTAGTAATAAATGGTTTTCAGATCATCAATTTGACTTTTCCTTTTTTTTTTTTTTTATTGAGACAGTGTCTCACTCTGTTGCCCAGGCTGGAGTGCAGTGGTGTGATCTTGGCTCACTGCAATCTCTGCTGCCCAGGTTCAAGCGATTCTCCCGCCTCAGCCTCCCAAGTAGCTGGAATTACAGGCGCCTGCCACCATGCCCAGCTAATTTTTGTAGTTTTTAGTAGAGACAGGGTTTCACCATCTTAGTCAGGCTGGTCTTGAACTCCTGACCTTGTGATCCATCCGCCTTGGCCTCCCAAAGTGTTGGGATTATAGGCATTAGCCACAGCGCCCAGCCTGTGACTTTCAAATAGCAGGTATCTGCCAAGCGCAGTGGCTCATGCCTGTAATCCCAGCACTTTGGAAGGCTGAGGCGGACAGATTACCTGAGGTCAGGAGTTCAAGACCAGCCTGGCCAATGTAGTGAAACCCAGTCTCTACTAAATATGCAAAAATTAGCTGGGCATGGTGGCGGGCACCTGTAATCCCAGCTACTTGGGAGGCTGACGCAGGAGAATTGCTTGAACCTGAAAGGTGGAGGTTGCGGTGAGCTGAGATAGGGCCATTCATTGGACTTCAACCTGGGAGACAAAGACAGACTCCGTCTCAAACAAACAAACAAAACAAATAGCAGGTATCCAGTAAACAAATTGCAGGTGTCCAGTTTTCTTTCCTTATTAAAAGTGGGCTGGGCCGGGCACGGTGGCTCAAGCCTGTAATCCCAGCACTTTGGGAGGCCGAGACGGGCGGATCACAAGTTAAAGTGGGCTGGGCCGGGCACGGCTCAAGCCTGTAATCCCAGCACTTTGGGAGGCCGAGACGGGCGGATCACAAGCATCAGCAGATCGAGACCATCCTGGCCACGGTGAAACCCCGTCTCTACTAAAAATACAAAAAAAAAAAAAAAAAAAAAAAGGTGGGCTGAGCACAGTGGCTCGTGCTGTAATGCTAGCACTTGGGAGGCTGATAGAAGGATGACTTGAGCCCAGGAGTTTGAGACCAGCCTGGGCAACATAGTGAGACCCTATCTCTACAAAAAAATAACTAGCTGGACATGGTGGCATGTGCCTGTAGTCACAGCTACTTGGGTGGCTAAGGCATGAGGATCACTTGAGCTGGGGAGGTCCAAGCTGCAGTGAGCCATAGTTGCACCACCACACTCCAGACTGGGCAACAGAGCGAGACCCTGTCTCAAAAACAAAACAAGGCCAGGCATGGTGGCTCATGCCTGTAATCCCAGCACTTTGGGAGACCAAGGAAGGCAGATCACTTGAGGCTATGAGTTTGAGACCAGCCTGGGCAACATAGTGAAAACCCATCTCTACAAAAAATACTAAAAATTAGCTGGGCACAGTGGCACGTGCCTGTAGTCCCAGCTACTCAGGAGGCTGAGGCAGGAGAATTGCTTGAATCCAGGAGGCAGAGGTTGCAGTGAGCCGAGACCGAGACACTGCACTCCAGCCTGAGCGACAGAGTGAGACCCTATCTCTGAAGAAAAAAACAACAAAAGTGTACTTTACCTCATATTCACCAATCTGAACTCAAAATTCATCCCAGCCCCTACCCCAGGGACTCCTTCACAAACTCAGGACATTGAAATCTCCATATGATCTGTGTTCAAGTCAGGAAATGTGGGGGTTGTAGCCAGGCGCAGTGGCTCACGCCTGTAATCCCAGTACTTTGGGAGGCTGAGGCAGGTGGATCACTTGAGGCCAGGAGTTTGAGACCAGCCTGGCCAACATGGCAAAACCCCATTGCTACCAAAAATACAAAAATTAGCTAGGCATGGTGGTGCACATCTGTAATCCCAGCTACTCGGGAGGCTGAGGCAAGAAAATCCCTTGAACTTGGGAGGTGGAGGTTGCAGTGAGCCAAGAACATCGCATCACTGCACTCCAGCCTGGGCAACAGAGCAAGCCTCTGTCTCAAAAAAAAAAAAAAAAAGTGGGGGTTGTCCCGGACACCCTCTCACACCAAGTAGGTGCCCAGCGCTGCCACCTGACTGGCCTCAGCATCCTGCCTGCCTGCACGCCTCCTCCAGAAGGGTCTCTTCTCAGCAGGGCTGGTCTTTGAACTAGGTGGGTCACGTCTCTCTCTGGGGGTTGTCTCTGTCTTGACACCTCGCCGTGGCCCTGGCTACCTCTTCAACTTCACTTCCTACTGTGTACCTCCAATAACCCGCCCCTCCCTGCTCCTGCTGCCTGGTACGCTCTGAACAGATACCTACTTGTCTCTTTCACACCCAAAAGTCCTCAGATTCTCACTAAGATGTCTTTTTGGAGAGGCCTTTGCTTCCCATCATGCAATTCCCATCACTGCCTCCTTACCCTCCTTCATTTTCTTCATAGAATGTGGGTATTTGAGTATTTGCTTTCATCTCTCCCCAGGGCCCACAATATAAGCTCCCCAAGGACAAAGGCTGTGTTTCTCCCTGGCATATTCCCAATACCAGGAACAGCAGTTGGCACACAGTAGGTACTGAGCACACAGCTGGGGAAGGAATGAAAACCTAAGCTCTGCTCCTGCTCCACACCTGAAATGTCACTTCCTCAGAAGCGTCCCTCCCCACCATGTAACTCTTCTCTCCCTTAGCATTATCATCTGTTAAAGCGCTTACTAAAATAGACAATTACACGTGTGTTTGCATTGTAAAAGTTAACATCTGCCCAGCATTCTGGACCAGGGTCAGCCTGAGGGCCCTCCCAAGCAGCCAGTGACGAGACGGCTGCCAGTGCTCTGGGTTACCAGCATATCCCCTCGGCCACTCCAGCAGAGACAGTACAGCGGCTGTGAGACCCTCAGATGGAGTCTTGTGGACTGACTGAGCTCCCCTGGGTCACATGGCCGGTGGAAAACAAGGCTCTGACTGGCTGGGTCTAGGTCATGTGCCCACCCAGGAGGAACTGAGTGGTTCACAAGGAATGCTGGGTGCTATTACCTGGGGAAGGGAAAAGAGATGTTGGGCTAACCTTGAAAAGTTTTTATCCAAGGACTCTTTCCATAATGGAAAAAGGAACTAGTGTATAAAAATTCACCAGTACAACCAATTTTTTTTTCTTTTCTCTTTTTGTTTTTTTTAGAGACAGGGTCTTGCTGTGTCACCCAGGCTGGAGTTCAGTGGTGTGATCATAGCTCATTGCAGCCTTGATCTCCTGGGTTCAAGTGATCCTCTCACCTCAGGTTCTTAAGTAGCTGGGACTACAGGTGTATTCAACCATGCCTGGCTAATTTTTGTATTTTTTTTGTAGAGATGGAGACTTGCTATGTTGCCCAGGCTGGTCTTGAACTCCTGGCCTCAAGCAATCCTCCTGGCTCAGGTTCCCAAAGTGCTGGGATTACAGACATGAGCCACCACACCCAGCCCTCATAGGTATTTTTTAATAGCACATTAAAAACACATAGCTAATAAGCAGAGAAAATCATAAGCCTCTTAAAATTCTGCTTGTACGCCTTTCCTCCTTGCTGTGTAAAATGTGTTCACTGTTCTTCTATTTCAGTGCTATAGGGACAGTTAAGAGCTACAAATGAAGGTGATACGGAATTTAATTTCACAAAAGACATGAGGGACAAAACAAGGAATGATCAGTAGTTTGCTAAATGCCCTGTTTATTCTGCAAACAAGGCTTAGAAATGTATAGACACAATTTGTAGGCTGAGAAATCTCTGTGTAGTTGTGAGTTCACAACTATACTTCCGCAAAAGCAGTAGTGACAGCCGCTTCTGAACACATTAACCTACCATTGTTTTGTTTAGAGCGAACATAGTGAGAATGGATTCCTAATGGCCTGTTTCTCTAAGTGATCGTCACAGTTCGCTGCTCTAGTCTTTAAGAACAAGTGGAGCCTTCACTTGAGCCGCCACCTCCTTGCCGTTCAGGGCTTCAACAATTGCAAGTGCAAACTCGAAGCTGGTCCCAGGCCCCCGGCTTGTAAGAATCAGGCCGTCCTTTTCCACACGATTCTCAGAGTAGGTGTAATGACCTGCAAAGTAGAAACAGAAAAGGTGACATTCTAATGGGCTATGTGATGAGAAAGACGATTACTTACCAATTCAATTCACTATGACAGCATGTAAACCCAACCTGTAGGCTAGCCATTCAAAAACATTTACTTGGCACTCCAAGCTCTTAGAAGCCCCCTACAAGAGTATTTTTAAAACTGCAGAGCAAAGGGTGAGAGAAACCACTGTTAGAATGAAACAAATATGTGTAAGTTAAACGCAGCTGCTAAGACTTTAAGTGTCGGGGGAGGTGTCAGTGAATGACAGTTACTCACATCACTATTTTACAACAAAGCTCCAGTGTCAATTCTGAAGTGCCAGGCAAAGGGTGAGGGGATGCGGCAATGCTGAAGGCAGAAGCCACCCTGATCAACATGTGGCGGCACGCACACCCTCTGATGCCTCAAAAACAACCACAGCACAACATACTGGAGGCAGGTATGCACGTGTGTGTGCGTGTGCAGGTAGAAAGCACATTCACTCTCAAGGACTACTTTCCTTCTGCATCCCCGCAACCCCTGTGCCAACCAGTTGGCTATTTCTTGGCAAATATAACATCAAAACTGGGATTCTTGAGCATGGATGCCCTGAGCTCTGCCCCTCCACAGCAGGTAGTCACCAGCCTCTCCACTGCACACAGAGCCTAACCTCTCCCGCTATACCCATCCCTATCCCTCTCCCACCTGGAGCTTCCCTTACTGAATACAACAGGTTCTCTCCTGCTCCAGGATGAGCTCAAGGGCTGCTCCCTTCACCCACAGACCAGCTCTGGGTTCCCAGTTTCTTGCCCCTTTGGTTTCAGCATCAACAAAAATCCCTCAGCGAGGGTATCTGTGACCACCCCCACCTCCCCAAATTATGTTCCTCTGTTGACTCTATCACCGCATCCTATTTACTGCCCTCCCAGCATTGATACAATCTATCACAATCTATAAACATTTCATTTCCTTGTTTATTGTTTACTCTTTAAAAGGGCTGGGCCTTCATCAGTCCCTGTCTGGCCAATGATATCCATGGCACACAAGAGGCGCCCCTGAAGTGTGAGGTCAAAGGCACCAAACACCATTCTCGACTGATCTCTTTTCTCCACCTGTCCCCTGCTTTAAAGAGGAAGGATCTCTGCATGATTATAGCTCTCCCTTCTGGCTGTGCACCCCTTCAACCCATGCCCAGCACCCAAAAGCTCTCTCTCTAGAGTGTGAAGCAGGGCACAGCCAGTTCCCCATGGAAAGCCCTTGACAACTCTCTCCAGCACCTGAAGGTCACGCTGAACTCCATGTCACGGGGCATGGAGCCCTCTGCGGTCCGGCCTTCGCACAGAGACTGGGCTGGGACCAGAAGGGAGATGGAAAGGAACCTGCTGTCTGGGTAGAAGCTGGTGGTGCCTGCACTAAGCTGGTGACAGTGATCCAGAGGAAATGGAGGTTTGAAATGAAGGCCTAGGTGAGGAGGCTTCAAGGATGACTCCCAGCTGCCTATCCCAGGTGACTGGATGATGGTGACACCACTTAATGATGTGGGGACACAGAAAGATTTAGCGGAGGGGAAGCGACAAAGCTCCTCTGTGAACTCCTGCTCTATCCTGATGCACCTGCCACACAGGCAGGCGGGTGGCTCTGGCCACTAGAGCTCAGTGCAGACCTGGGAACACCCCGAAGGCACAGCTTTCTCTTCTTCTTCTGTTCCCAGTGCCAGGTACTAAGGAGGAGCTTAGGAAATGTCTGTTCAATGAACACACATAAAAATTCATCCGAAAACCTCCCTTCAACAGAAGCAGAGTGCTTCTGCTGTATTAATGAGCTTTTGAAACCACACAATGTACATTTCTTTTCCAAGGAGATTAACAATGGCTACAGGAACTTGTCTTACTGTCATTAGAAACCAAGCCACCGCTGGTCGAAGGCAGTGAGTTATCTCAATTGATCGTTCACAGGCAGTTACTCCTTGTTCTACTCTTTCTCCTCTTCTCACTACTGTGCTTGACTAATCTAAAAAATTTAAAAAATCAGGTCACCCACCAAAATAAATGAATAGAGTACATTTAAAAATTTCCAATTGAACTATTCTAGAGAAAAAGAGGATCCCTAGTTTGAGGGGAAAAGGTTTATCATAATCTGGCCTCATTTACTGATGGTTAAACCAGGCTAAGACCATTTCAAATGATAACCTAGAAACTGGGTGGGCTAGGTCTTCCAGAGCGACGGTGAGATGCACAGCTGAGAGTGGGACAACATAAGGCACAACTATAAATGGTTCACTGAACAGTATCTTTGTGGCTAAAACAGTGCAAATAGGGTTTAAACTGGTTAAATATGCTTAAAGGTTCTACGGTTCTTGTCGGACTTTTAATCGGGAAAAGCAAAAGGTTTAAGGTTGCCACCTGCATCCACCTAGTGGCGAAGACAGCACACACATCCTGTCAGCGCTAGGAAGGCACTGTGCAAACTTGAGGGTGGAACTGTGACCCTATAGTGAATTCAGATTTTACACTTCCCGTTCCAACCAGCAGAAGGCATTGATTTTTATTTCTTTATTTTTTTAAACCAGACTCCAAGTCTTAAAGTCTCTTCAGAGAAAAAGCAATGGGAAGTCAGGCGCGGTGGCTCATGCCTGTAATTCCAACACTCTGGGAGGCCAAGGCAGGTGGATCACCTGAGGTCAGGATTTGGAGACCAGCCTGACCAACATGGTGAAACCCCGTCTCTACTAAAAAATACAAAAAAAAAAAAAAAAAAAAAAAATTAGCTGGGCCTGGTGGCCGGTGCCTGTAATTACAGCTACTCAGGAGGCTGAGACAGGAGAATCACTTGAATCCGGGAGGCAGAGGTTGCAGTGTGCTGAGATGCGCCACTACACTTCAGCCTGAGTGAGAGAGCAAGACTCCGTCTCAAAAAAAAAAAAAAAAAAAAAAAGCTGGGGGGCTGGGCGCGGTGTCTCACGCCTGTAATCCCAGCACTCTGGGAGCCTGAGGCAGGCAGATCACAAGGTCAGGATATGGAGACCACCCTGGCTAACATGGTGAAACCCCGTCTCTACTTAAAATACAAAAAATACGCCAGGCGTGGTGGCGGGCACCTGTAGTCACAGCTACTTGGGAGGCTGAAGCAGGAGAAAGGCTTGAACCTGGGAGGCGGAGCTTGCAGTGAGCACAGTGAGCGCCTGGATGACACAGCGAGACTCCGTCTCAAAAAAAAAAGACAATGGGAGGGCACAAGACACAGGTCAGCAACTATGAGTCAGGGCCGAGGCCAGGTTACTGCCTGTTTTTGCAAATGCACAAAGCCACCCTGCGTTCTTAGGACTGTCTGTAGCTATTGTGGAGCTGCAACAGTTGAGTAGCTGCCAGAGAGCTGAAGTCCCAGAAAGCCTGCAATATTTACCACCTGGCCTTTGGGGAACAGTCAGTTGACCCCTGAGCAGAGTTCTGGGTTCAAATCCCAAGTCTGCCATTTGGTGGCTGTCTAACCTCTCAGAGCTTCACTTTTTGGTAAAATGAGAATGACATCAACCTAGCAAACGAACAGTACTCAGCAGTGGTGGCATGCAGTGGCGTACAGAGGCTAGGTGAGGGCAGTTTTTTCACCAACAATCCTGAAGCAGGTTTATCCTCAGGCAACGGACAAGGAAATAGGCTCGGAGAAACTAAGGAAACCTCCCACAGTGAGTAGGGAAGCTGAGGGCCACCCCAAGATGCCAGGCTCCAGAAACCCTGCTCTTCAGTGCTCAGGTATGGGACCAGGCATGCGGATGCCATCAAACAGTGGACAAACGAGAAATGGAATCACACATTACACTTATAACCGACTTATTCTAAAATCGGAGAAATTAAAAGATTACGGGGACTGGGGCTGGTAGCACACACCTGTAATTACAGCACTTTGGGAGAGCAAAGTGGGAGGGTCATTTGAGCCCAGGAGTTTAAGTACCGCCTGGGCAACACAGTGAAACCCTGAATCTACCAAAAACAAGAAAAAAGAAAAAAGACTATGGCCTTCAGATGGGATTGCTTATCTGAGGAGAAACTGTCACACTGATCTTTCAGGTTCACAATGAGGACGAGGGCCTCACCCAGAGCAGACTCCCAGGTGATGACTGCAGCCCTACCTCTCAAAGTGTCCTGAAGGGGTAGACATTTCAAGTATCCACTTCTTATAATAGAGGTTACTGACTAAATCCAACACCTGGTAACTTAAATGTGTGTGGGAGCCTTTTGCTACCACAGAGCAGGGGAGGGGCAGGAAGGCAAAACTGGATGCAAGGCAGAGGGCTGGGCTTGAGATCTGGCCTCAGTCTCTCCTTGTTTGTGAAGCTAGGATGATGCCACCTGCCTTGCTGGGCATTGGGGACCAGGAAGTTCCACCAAGATAACGTAGGGGAACCTGCTTTGTAAACTCCGAGTGTGAGCATCAACAATCTGATATTTTTCTATGCCTGACCAACCTCCATGTTTTTGAGGCACTAAAGGAAAACAGATGCAACAGGTGCGCCTTCAGGTAGTGCAGGAGGGCGCTCTGCTTGAGTCTTCCCGCTGAAGACATCACAAAGGGAGCCCAGTTCTGTTCTTTCTACTTCTTTCAACCCTCTAAAATCCCTCCATGAGCTTAAAGTAAATTAAATTCCTACATTTAAAATGCCCAGAAACCAGAGCCTTTTTTAAAAAGTACTAATTATTATTATTATTATTTTTGAGACGGAGTCTCGCTCTGTTGGCCTGGCTGGTGTGCAGTAGAGCAATCTCGGTTCACTGCAAGCTCCACCTCCCCGGTTCACGACATTCTCCTGCCTCAGCCTCCCAAGTAGCTGGGACTACAGGCGCCCGCCACCAGGCCTGGCTAATTTTTTTAGTATATTTAGTAGAGATGAGGTTTCACCGTGTTAGCCAGGATGGTCTCGATCTCCTGACCTCGTGATCCACCCGCCTTGGCCTCCCCAAGTGCTGGGATTACAGGCGTGAGCCACCGCGCCCGGCAAAAAGTACCAATTTTCAGATAGTTATAATGATAACACAGTATCTTTCCAGCAACTAAAATGAAACCATGAGCAGGGCACAGTGGCTCACATCTATAATCCTAGTACTTCGAGAGGCCAAGCCAGAAGGATTGCTTGAGGCCAGGAGTTCAAGACCAGACTGTGCAATATAGTTAGACCCTGTCTCTACAAAAAAATTTAAAAATTAGCCAAGTGTGGTGGTTCATGCCCATAGTTCCAGCTACTTGGGAGGCTGAGGTGAGAGGACTGCCTGATCCCAAGACGTGGAGGTTACAATGAACTGAGATCACACCACTGCACTCCAGCCTGGGTGACACAGCAAGCCTCTGTCTCAAATAAATTAAATAAATTAACAAACCATGGATTTTCAGGAAAACACTGCTCTGGATCAAATGTAAGTGTATGTAGAATGTACAACAGCAAGACAGAACCCTCATGTAAACTATGGACTCTGCATGATGATGTGTCAATGTGGGTGCAGATTCTGGTGCAGGATGTTGATAGTAGGGGACGCTATGCATGGCCAGGGGCGGGTGGCTGGGGAGTGGGTAGAGGGTGAAGGTAGACAGGAATTTGGCTGTGAACCTAAAACTGCTCTAAAAAAATAAAGTTTAGTAATTAAAAAACATGCAGTATAATGAAAAGTGCATTACTTTTAAAAGGGAGCTCAGATATGCTCACAATGGCATTCAAGGATGTTCATTACGGCATGGTTTACAAGGGCAAAAGCAAAAAACCACCTCCATGCCCACCCCCAGGAGAAGGTTACATACAGCATGGCACATTCTAACACTGGACTAGCAGCTGCACTTAATGAGGATGAAGCAAATCTAAATCTACACATGCTGTTAAAAGATAACATAAGCTATAATGTTAAGTTAAAAAAAAGCAAGCTGTAGAACAACACATTTAGTAGATCTCATTTTAGTTAAAATAAAAAGGATAGTACGTATATAGATAAAATTCTATAGTTATACAAGAAACTTTTTTTATTTTTTTGAGATAGGGTCTTGCTTTGTCCCCCAGACTGGAGTGCAGTGGTGAGATCACAGCTCACCACAGCTTTGACTTCCCAGGCTTAAGCTATCATTCCACCATTCCATCACTACGCCTGGCTAATGTTTTTTGTATTTTTAGTAGAGATGGAGTTTCACCATGTTGCCCAGGCTGGTCTCGAACTCCTGGGCTCGAGCGATTCACCCACCTCAGTCTCCCAAAGTATTGGAATTACAGGCAGGAGCCACTGCACCCAGTCTACAAAAAACCTGTGGTGGCACATGCCTGTAATCCCAGTTACTCGGGAGGCTGAGGCAGGAGAATCCCTTGAACCTGGGAGGCGGAGGTTGCAGTAAGCCGAGATCGCGCCCCTGCACTCCAGCCTGGGCAACAAAGTGAGAGACTCCATCTCAAAAAAAACAAACGAACAAACAAAAAAAAAAAGCATATGGGCTGGGTGTGGTGGCTCACGCCTGTAATCCCAGCACTTTGGGAGGCTGAGGCAGGCAGATCACGTGGTCAAGAGTTCAAGGACAGGTGTGGTGGCTCACACCTGTAATCCCAGCACTTTGGGAGGCTGAGGCGGGTGGATCATGAGGTCAGGAGTTCAAGACCAGCATGATCAACATGGAGAAATCCCATCTCTACTAAAAAACACAAAAATTAGCCAGGCATGGTGGGGCGCACCTGTAATCCCAGCTACTCAGGAAGCTGAGGCAGAAGAATCGCTTGAACCCAGGAGGCGGAGGTTGCAGTGAGTGGAGAGTGCGCCATTGCACTCCAGCCTGGGCGACAGAGCGAGACTCTGTCTCAAAAAAAAGTTCGAGACCAGCCTGACCAACATGGTGAAACCCCATCTCTACTAAAAACACAAAAATGAGCTGGGCGTGATGGCATGCACCTGTAATCCCAGCTATTCAGGAGGCTGAGACAGGAGAATCGCTTGAACCGGGGAGGCAGAGGTTGCAGTGAGCCAAGATCACACCACTGCACTCCAGCCTGGGCGACAGAGCGAGACTCTGTCTCAAAACACAAACAAACAAACAAAAACAAGCATATACTTACCTCCATTCATCATTTTGTCTTTAGCAAGAGGGTGTGTGGTAACTTTACTTCCAAAACCTATTTCATGAGCCAACAGAGCAGTAGGACCTAAAAATAAAAATAAAAAGATCTAAGTGCGGATATAGAAAAACCCCAAATTTAAAAAATCACAATAGTGCCTGGCACAGTAGCTCCTGCCTGTAATCCCACCAATTGGGGAGGCCTAGGTAGAAAAACTGCTTGAGCCCAGGAATTCAGCATCAGCCTGGGCAACACAGACCCCTTCTCTAACAACAAAAACTGCAACAGCAAAGTATTCTTCAAAATCAAGAGGCTCTTACCAAACATACAGCTACGATTCTGAAATGAAACACTTCCTAGTACGAGAGATAAAGTATGTTTATAACAAACAATTTGCTGAGCACGTCTGGCAAAAGCACAGAAACTCAAAATACTTCAATAACCATTTACTCAAGAAGATTTACCTTGATACCAGCAGAGCATACACAGATAAACAATGTGCTCACCTCTCTCACCTCCCCCACCCCCAGAACAGGGACCACATATACCAGGAGTCCGAAGGAAAGGGAGGATTACTGTGGGGCAGGCTGAACTTACCTCACTCTTAGTAAAAGGAAAGACTTAGTTACATCCTAAAGGCAACTGGTACTCTCTGAACTTCTGGATTGTATTGCTCTTTTATAGTTTTATTTTCTACATGAAAATGGGAAATTAGGCCAGGCGCGGTGGCTCATGCCTGTAATCCCAGCACTTTGGGAGGCCGAGGCAGGCGGATCACGAGGTCAGGAGATCAAGACCGCTGGCTAATATGGTGAAACCCCATCTCTACTAAAAATACAAAAAATTAGCCGGGCGTGGTGTTGGGCGCCTGTAGTCCCAGCTGCTCGGTAGGAAGATGGCATGAACCCCTACTAAAAATACAAAAAAATTATTAGCCAAGGTGGTGGCAGGGGCGCCTGTAGTCCCAGCTGCTCGGTAGGAAGATGGCATGAACCCGGGAGACGAGCTTGCAGTGAGCTGAGATCGTGCCCTGCACTCCAGCCTGGGCAACAGAGCGAGACTCCATCTCAAAAAAAAAAAAAAAAAAGAAAGAAAAGAAAATGGGAAATTAACACTCATTCATCCACCTATCCATCCAAGTATACCAGCTGGTAGGATTAAAATCGACAGCACACTGTCCCTGAAGGAGATAGCCTGTGAAGTGCCTGGAAGTGTGAGATATAAAGGCACTAGTATCATTTTATGAAAGCTACTTAAGCAAAGAACCACATGGAAGTGTCAGTTAATGAAGTCTTTCCAAATTGACAGGTCCTAACTTGAGATTTTTATTTAAATGTATGCACTGAAAATGGCCAACTTCAGGGAGGGTCACAAGCATATTGCATATGTAATGGTCCTCAAATAAGGATTAAAAACAAAGATTTCATATACCTTTAATTGTTATTTCATCTTAAAGCTTTTTACAAAGTATTCATTCTACCTTTTTTCTCTAAGCCGCACATATAAACATTCTAAAGCCTCACATGACACTTAGAAGGATGTTTCAGAACAGCACCTTGACTTTGGAAACACTTAGGATGCCCTGGATGGCTAAGATCCTATGGCACAGTCTGTACAGTTTTAGTGTCAGCAAACTTGAGAGGTCTTGGTCTTACTGACCTTTCATTTTTCAACAAGACTCCAAGGAAGGAGTTATATAATATACCCACAGGCTACTCAGACTGTAACTGTTACAAACAGGAAGATCACACAAATACTACCTAATTACATAAGCTTTCTGCCTAGTATCAGGTGTCAGTTTCAGAACAAGTCCTGATTTATAGCTCTTAAATAAAAAGCCTCAAATGTCTCTTTTCCACGTTTTTTACACACAAGACAGCTATGTATGGTAGCAAATTTTTAAAGTCTATAAGAATTGAATAATAATTTTTATTTGAATGGATTTATAAATTGCTTTTAATTTTTATTTGGTAAGAGTTTAAGAAGAAATTCCTACATCATCTTGTATTTTAAAGTAAACTTTAAAAGATGATTGTACAGTGAGGAAAGTGATCAGTGAGAATTTTTAGGCTGCCCCCTTCAATGTGGTAATAAAATCACTGCTACAATGATGTGCATAAATTTACGTTACAGTTGGATGCAGGAATTTACTGATGTCTTTCTTACTCATCATGGTAAGCTCATAATTACTGCTTTCTGGGGCTTCAGAACCCTATTTGGAATATTGGAGAAGAGACGTTTCACTCTCCTAGGACCTGGGATTCTGATGGATGAAAACGCTCTGCACTCTGCACTACAGTGCAGAGGGCGCAGCTGACCACGTCCCCTTCTGCAGCCAAGAGCGCCACCCTGTGGTGACTTGCAAAATGACCACGTCTGCCAACTCCCCCGCTCCTCCAGGTGGCCAAGACCTTGTTTCCAGAGGCCTTATTCCTAGACCTGGGCATCTCAGCTGACAATTGTCCACCCCTCCAACTCCACACTTCCTCCGCCTCCCCCACTCAAAGTAAATCTCATTTAATTTTCTTCTCAACATAGACTCCCTTCCAATTTGCCTTCCTCATTCACTCAATATTAAGGACTAGGCTAATATTCTTTGTGTTCAAAATGTTTCCAATTCCTAACTGCAATACTTCAGAATAATCCTGGCTGAGCATGGTGGCTCACGCCTGTAATCCCAGCACTTTGGGAGGCCAAGGTGGGCAGATCACGAAATCACGAGTTCGAGACCAGCCTGGCCAACATGGTGAAACCCCGTCTCTACTAAAAACACAAAAATTAGCCAGGCATGGTGGCAGGCACCTGTAATTCTAGCTACTCGGGAGCCTGAGGCAGGAGAATCACTTAAACCTGGGAGATGGAGGTTGCAGTGAGCCGAAATTGTACCATTGCACTCCAGCTTGGGCAACAAGAGCAAAACTCCGTCTCAAAAAAAAAAAAAAAAAAAAATCTTATTTTTCTGTTTGCCAATTTAAAAGATTCAAATCTCTTTCGTCACTCCTCTTTTCCATTCCCAAAACCCTCATCTCAATTCGCTCAGCTCATCATCACATTTTTTCCTATTTTTTGTGTAGTGCCCACAACAGTGGTGCAGGATATTCAATGGTATAAACACACTGCTAGTGTGTTTTCCATTTTTACTTTATATACATATATATATATATATTTTTTTTTTTTTTTTTTTTTTTGAGACGGAGTCTCGTTCTGTCGCCCAGGCTGGAGTGTAGTGGCATGATCTTGGCTCACTGCAAGATCCGCCTCCCAGGTTCACGTGATTCTTCTGCCTCAGCCTCCTGAGTAGCTGGGACTATAGGTGACCGCCACGACGCCCGGCTAATTTTTTGTATTTTTAGTAGAGACGAGGTTTCACCATGTTAGCCAGGATGGTCTCGATCTCCTGACCTCGTGATCTGCACGCCTCAGCCTCCCAAAGTGCTGGGATTACAGGCGTGAGCCACCCACCCCGGCCTATTTTTACTTTTTTTCTTAAGAGACAGAATCTTACTCTGTCATTTAGGCTCAAGTGCAGTGGTGTGATCATCACAGCTCACTGTAACCTCAAATTCCTGGGCTCAAAGTGATCCTCCCACCTCAGTCTCCTGAGTAGCTGGGAATACAGGTGTGCACCACCACACCAGGCTGATTTTTTAAAATATTTTTTTGTAGAGATGGGGGTCTCACTATGTTGCCCAGACTGGTCTTGAACGCCTGGGCTCAAGTGATCCTCCTGCCTCAGTCTCCCAAAGTGCTAGGATTACAGCTATGAGCCACCACAGCCAGCCTGTTTATTTTTTAATGTTGATTTTAATTATTATAAGGCCCATGCTTCTTGGCATGGCATTTGATCTAGCCTCAGCACAAAACAGTGATCCAGATGTGGTTGATCTTTTTTTGTTGTTGAAATGAAGTCTCGCTCTGTTGCTCAGGCTGGAGTGCAGTGGCATGATCTTGGCTCACTGCAACCTCCACCTACCGGGTTCAAGTGATTCTCCTGCCTCAGTCTCCCAAGTAGCTAGAATGACAGACATGTACCACTATGCCCCGCTAATTTTATTTTTATTTTTATTTTATTTATTTATTTATTGAGACGGAGTTTCGCTCTTGTTGCTCAGACTGGAGTGCAATGGCGCAATCTTGGCTCACTGCAACCTCCACTTCCCAGGTACAAGCAATTCTCCTGCCTCAGCCTCCCAAGTAGCTGGGATTACAGGCATGCGCCATCATGCCCGGCTAATTTTGTATTTTCAGTAGAGACAGGGTTTCGACATGTTGGTCAGGCTTCTCTCGAACTCCTGACCTCAGGTGATCCACCCGCCTCAGTCTCCCAAAGTGCTGGGATTACAGGTGTGAGTCACCGCACCAGGCCGTGGCTGATCATTTTGCTACTTTTGTGGCACAGGACAAACTGACTTGCAGTTTTTACTTTCAGCAGAATCATAAGGAAACAAACTCAGCCCAACCTCTTACTTTCTTCCTTTGGTCAAAGCATCTAGGACTGAGGCTTGCTTCACAGCAGCAGAGCCAAAGAAAACCAAACTCAAGGATCTGTGACTCTCTCTCCAAAGAGGGGTACACCTGCTTGGGCTGCAGTGACTGCAGTGCCCTCTGGTAGAGATAATTACCTGAGCCTCAGGGCAGGTCAAAAGGCTAGTGATGACTCTTGTAGCAAGCCCATGTACAAGACCTGCCAGGGTGGTCGACCTCTGTGGTTCTTCCCAGCCCCTAATGCCAGGGTTCTCAAACATTTATGTCTCAGAATCCCTTTAGCTTTTATGTGGGTTATATCTATGAACATCTGCCATATTAAAAATTATTACTTTTTTTTTTTTTAGATAATCTTGCTCTGTCACCCAGGCTGGAGTGCAGTGGCGCCATCTCGGCTCACTGCAACCTCCGCCGCCTGGGTTCAATAGATTCTCCTGCCTCAGCCTCCTGAGTAGCTGGGATTACAGGCATGCACCACCATGCCCAGCTAACTGCCCAGCTAACTTTTGTATTTTTAGTAGAGATGGAGTTTCACCATGTTGGCCAGGCTGGTTTTGAACTCCTGACCTCAAGTGATCCTCCTACCTCAGCCTCCAGAGTAGCTGGGATTACAGGCGTGCACCACCACGCCCAACTAACTTTTGTATTTTTAATAGAAACGGGATTTCACCATGTTTGCCAGACTGGTTTTGAACTCCTGACCTCAAATGATCTGCTCACCTCAGCTTCTCAAAGTGCTGAGATTACAGGCATGCGCCACCATGCCTGGCCAATTATTACTATTAATGGCAAAAACCACAATTACTTTTACACCAACCTAATAAAACTGGGAAATTTTTAAAACACAGTAATACATGCTCAAATGATGGTATCATCCCACTCTGATGTCACTCCTGAAAGACTGAGAAGAAAAAAGGCAAACAACATTTTGTTTGAAAGACGTGGTCTCAATCTGTTACCCAGGCTGGAGTGCAATCATAGCTCACTGCAGCCTCTAACTCTTGCCCTCAAGCAATCCTCCCATCTCAGCCTCCTGAGTAGCTGGGACTACAGGTATGCAGCACTGTGCTCGGCTAATTGTTTGTTTGTTTGCTGAGATGGGGTCTATGTTGCCAAGGTTAGTCTCAAACTCCTGGCTTTCAAGAGATCCTTCTGCCTTGGCCTCCCAAAGTGCTGGGATTACAGGCATGAGCCACCACACCTGGCCCCTCAGTAGTATCTGCTTTGACCTTGCAAGTGCACCAAAAGAACATTGAGAACCACTGACTGAATGTGTCAAGTCCCTAGGACCTCTGGCCCGAAACTTCTTTTAAAAAGCCTACTGTATTGAACAACATAGCAACATGTTTTGATGTTGATGTTTACCAAACCATCCATTCATTCATTTATTCATTCACTCTTCTGACAAATATTCATTTTTAAATTTTATTTTATTTACTTATTTATTTTGAGACGAAGTCTCGCTCGTGTACCCCAGGCTGGAGTGCAATGGCGCAATCTCGGCTCACTGCAATCTCCGCCTCCTGGGTTCAAGCGATTCTCCTGCCTCAGCCTCCCAAGTAGCTGGGATTACAAGTGCACACCACCACGCCTGGCTAATTTTTGTATTTTTGGTAGAGATGGGGTTTCACCATGTTGGCCAGGCTGGTCTCGAACTCCTGACCTCAGGTAATCCGCCCACCTCAGCCTCCTAAAGTGCTGGGATTACAGGTGTGAGCCACCGCACCCGGCCCTGACAAATATTTAATGAAGACCTACACAACAAGGAAGGTGCTGGCAAAAATTACAGCATGGGAAAAAGCCAAGATGGCAGAACATCAACTGATATGAAAGCAACAAGAATGGATTTTAAAATGGCTATGAGAAAATAAAATATTACTAGGATACAAAGATGAGGGACATCTGTGAAGCACCAAATGTCCTTATTCTAAATTGTGTGGCAGATAATGCGGTGCCCAAGATAACTCGGCAGTGAGAGAATCAGAAACGCCCGGAAGCCAGCAGAAAGCACCATGGCGCTTCTGAATCTGCAGGGCAAGCACAGGGCAGAGCTGCTGTGTTGATGTTTGACGGATTCTTGCTGACTGTGTGCTGGCACAAAGACTTTCTGGCACAGAGACTTGCTGTAACAAGCTGTTTACTGAATTCCAGAGGGCCTTATTTTCCTCCGAGGTCAACCAAACACGGAAAACACTAAGTTTCACAGCACGTAGACCAAAGGCATGGAGAGGCAGAAAACGGAACAATTGTCCTCATTTCTGAAATGACACCAACTTCATGCCACCCAAACTAAATACACCAACATAGACGCCCTGCATGCTTTACGAAGGGGAAGAGCTATTTGAAATCAAACCACCAAATGAAAGGCTACCCCACCCACCAATGACGCTGCAACACAGGCTGCCCCGCATGTCACCTGCACAGATGGCGGCTATCAGGCCCTTCCGGTTTTCCTGCTCCTTCAGTATCTCCTTCACGGCAGCAGACTAGTGAAAAGAAAACCAAAAATACATCAAGTTGTCATTAAGCCACTAACCAATCACTCACTAGGAAACTTTGGAAGAATTTGATTTTAGCTTAAACCACAAGCTCTCTGACCTATTTTCCAACAATATTTCTAAATCATTGGTATAAAAATGATCAAAATGTGTCTATATTATATTATTAAACCCAAGCAAGGCATTTCTCATAAGAGAAACGCATTCCTCCACATTTAAAGATCAGAAGAAAGAAGCAATTTGACCCTTGCCATTTTGTACTCCATGGAGAAAGAAACAGGAGACAGGGAATGTGGTGTTTTGGGTGTTTTCAGATGGCAGATAGAGGAAGAGAATCTAGCAGGAAATGATCCCTCATGTCCGACTCAACCCACTTCTTGAGTGCTTCTGGCAGCCCCAACTCTGCCTGTTGGTGTGCCCCTCACCCTGGCCTCTGACTCCTCGCATACAACTTAAAATGAGGAACAGTGGTCTCTGCTGATGGCATTTGTCATTCCTGCTGGCAGCCCTAGCCCCACAGCCTCCCCCAGTTCAGACTTTGAGTAGACAATTTGCCCTTCCCAAAACACAAAATCTGATCATTCTTCTGCTGGTGGAAAAAAACTAAATCATCTTACTTTGGACTGTATTCACCGAAATCTGTTCGTAACGGTTCCACCAATTCAGCTTACTTCCATGGCAATTTTTTTTTTTTTGGATAAGACAGGTTCTTGCTTTGCTGCCCAGGCTCGAATGCAGTGGTGCATTCACAGCTCACCACAACCTCAAACTTCTGGGTTCAAGCCGTCCTCCCACCATAGCCTCCCGAGTAGCTGGGACTACAAGTGTGCACCACTGTGCCCAGCTAATTAAAACAAAAATTTTTGTAGAGATGGGGTCTCGATGTGTTACTTAGGCTGGTCTCAAACTCTTGGCCTCCAGCAATCCTCCTGCCTCAGCCTCCCAAAGCACTGGGATTACAGGCGTGAGCCACTGTGCCTGACCTCCAGAGAAAATATTAAAAACGTTTTTTTGAGGCTGGGTGTGGTGGCTCATGCCTATAATTCCAGCACTTTGGGAGGCCGAGGTAAGTGGATCATGAGGTCAGGAGTTTGAGACCAGACTGGCCAACATGGTAAAACCCCGTCTCTAATAAAAATACAAAAATTAGCGGGGCAAGGTGGTGCGTGCCTGTAATCCCACCTACTCGGAGGTTGAGGCAGGAGAATTGCTTGAACCCAGGAGGCGGAGGTTGCAGTGAGCCAAGATTGTGCCACTGCACTCCAATCTGGATGACAGAGCAAGACTCTTGTCTCAAAAAGAAAAAAAAAAAAAAAGAAAGAAAGAAATAAAGAAATGTTTGAGTTAATGCTACACCACCATTTTGCTAATTTTAGTTGTTTCTATTTTTTTTCACAGCCTCCTCCCTGAAATATCTGAATAATAACAAAATCAATAGAACACAAGCAGATGCTGAAATTCTTTAATTTTTTCCCCCCAGCGTTATTGAGGTATAATTGAGTAGAATTTTTACCTCAGATAAATTCTGTGCACCCAGATTACCTCCTGGTAGAACCACCACATCATACGGTCCCTGTAACAGTTTAAAACATAAAGAAAACAAAAACATTTCATTTCAACTGTGCATTAAAGTGACAGTCCAGTAACACTTTCCTATTTTAAATGTGGGAAGTACAGGAGATAGCCTAAATATCTGCCAATAGAACAGTTAAATAAATTAAGGTGTATCCATATGACGGAATGTTGTTTTAACTAGCAAAAAATGCAAAAAGCCTGTATATGGTGACATGCAAGGATGTCCACGCTGCAGAGTAGCAGGGGTAGTATAATCTCATTCCTGTAAAAGACAATGATATACGTAATTTATGTGTAGATGTATGCGTGTATGAGTACAATCATCACAAGCACCCCCACCTGACATATTGTGTATACAGGTAGTCACAGACCAAGGAAGACACTCTAGTTGCCAACAGGAGTAGTATGGGATGGGGCAGAGGTAGAATGAGAATAGGACACTTAACATTTTGACTTTATATGTGTCTATATTGTTTCAATTATTGTTCAATAAGAATGTACATGAGCAACTTAAAAAATTAATAGAAAAACAGGCCAGGCACGATGACTCACGTCTGTAATCCCAGCACTTTGGGAGGCCGAGGCGGGCAGATCACCTGAGTTCAGGAGTTCAAGACCAGCCTAGCCAAAATGGCGAAACCCCCATCTCTACTAAAAATACAAAAATTAGCCGGGCGTGGTGGTGCACACTTGTAGTCCCATCTACTTGGGGGGCTGAGGCAGGAGAATCGCTTGAACCTAGGAGGCAAAGGCTGCAGTGAGCTGAGGCTGCGCCACTGCACTCTAGCCTGGGCAACAGAATAAGACTCTAAAAAAAAAAAAAAAATTAATAGAGAAGCAAATTTTAAGTAAAAGGCACAAAATTTTTTTTTTTAACATTATGAAAAATGTAACAGGGGAGAATTTGAGTATCCCCCCCCAAAAAAATCCTAGAAATCTAATTAATTTCAAACTTCCTGAAATTACAAAATGGAAATTGTTTTAACAATACTTTAGGACTTTTTATTTATATTTTATTATGTATTTATTTATTTATTTTTGAGACAGAGTCTTGCTCTGTCACCCAGGCTAGAGTGCAGTGATCTCAGTTCACTGCAACCTCCATCTCCCGGATTCAAGCAATTTTCCTGCCTCAGCCTCCCAAGCAACTGGGATTACAGGCACCCACCACCACACCCGGCTAATTTTTGTATCTTTAGTAAAGATGGGGTTTCACCATCTTGGCCAGGCTGGTCTCGAACTCCTGACCTCATGATCCACCCGCCTTGGCCTCCCAAAGTGCTGGGATTACAGGCGTGAACCACTGTGCCCGGCCAACAATACTTTAGGACTTTAAAAAGAGGTTAAAAAAAAATCTAGTCATTAAAAAAATTACAAAATAAAAATGTATTATGTATTTAGTGCAACCTATAAAATTTTTTGAGAGACAGGGCCTCATTCTGTCACCTAGGCTAGAGTGCAGTGGTGCAATCATAGCTCACTATAGCCTTGAACTCCTGGACTCAAGCAATTCTCCCACTTCAACCTCCCCTGTAGCTAGGACTACAGGCATGCACCACCACAGCCAGCTAATTTTTTTTATTTTTGTAGAGACAGAGTCTCACTACATTGCCCAGGATGATCTCGAAACTCCTGGGCTCAAGTAATCCTCCTGCCTCAGCCTCACAAAGTGCTAGGATTTCAGGTGTGAACCACTGTGGCTGGCTTAGAATCCCTTTTAAGACCATAAACATCCTACTGTTGATTCAAAACCAAGCAAAGCTCAAAACTCAAAAGAAAATGTGTAAAGTATAGAATTCATTTTACTCCTTTTAGAATCTGCACTGAAAAACAAAAACGCACAAAAGGTAACACCACTTTCTCAAAAAACTACAGTAAACAGAACTACCATATGGTCCAGAATCCCACTGCTGGGAAAGTAGCCAACGGAAAGGCAATCAGTATACTGAAGAGGCACCTGCACCCCCTTGTTTACTGCACCAATACTCACACTAGCCAAGACATGAAATCAACCTAGGTCCAACAACAGATGAATGCATAAAGAAAATGTGAATATGGCATTTATACACAATGGAATGCTATCCAGCCATAAAAAAGAATGAAATCTTGTCATTTGTGACTACAAGAATGAAACTAGAGGACATTATATTAAGTGAAAGAAGCCAGGAACAGCAAATTAAACACTCCATGTTCTCACTCCTATGTGAAAGCTAAAAAAAAATTGATCACATAGAAGTACAATGTAGGACAGAGGATATTAGAGGCTGGGGAGGATAGAAGAAAGTGGGGACAGGGAGAGATTTGTTAAAAGATACAAAATTATAGCTAGATAGGAGGAATAGGTTCTGGTGTTCTGTACCCCTGTAGGATGACTGTAGTTAACAATCATAGCTTCAAATAGCTAGGAGGATATTGAACGTTCCCAACACAAAAAAATGTTTGAGATGATGGATATGCTAATTACTCTGATCCAATCACTATATATTATGCACGGAAACATCACGCATCCCATGAATATGTACACTTATTATCTGTCGATTGAAAATAAAGGTAACCACTGTTTTAAAATGGCCAGACACCATATGACACAAACACAAACAGAAATGAAAAAAAATTATTATTATTATTTTTTTTTTTTTTTGAGATGGAGTCTCACTCTGTCTCCCGGGCTGGAGTGCAGTGGCTGGATCTCAGCTCACTGCAAGCTCCGCCTCCCAGGTTTACGCCATTCTCCTGCCTCAGCCTCCCGAGTAGCTGGGACTACAGGCGCCCGCCACCTCGCCCGGCTAGTTTTTTGTATTTTTTAGTAGAGACGGGGTCTCACCGTGTTAGCCAGGATGGTCTCGATCTCCTGACCTCGTGATCCGCCCGTCTCGGCCTCCCAAAGTGCTGGGATTACAGACTTGAGCCACCGCGCCCGGCCATTATTATTATTTTTGAGACAGGGTCTCGCTCTGTCACCCAGGCTGAGGGCAATGGCACAATCACAGTTCGCTGCAGTCTCAAATTCCTGGGCTCGAGCAATCGTCTGAGCCCAAGTGATCCTCTTGCCTCAGCCTCTTGAGTAGCTAGAACTACAGGCGTGCACCACCATGCCTGGCTTTTAACATTTTTAATTTGCAGAGAAAGGGTCTCGCTATCTTGCCCGGGGTGGTCTCAAACTCCTGGCCCCAAGTGATCCTCCCACTTTGGCCTCCTAAAGTGCTGGGATTACAGGTGAGCCACTGCACTTGGCCTGGAATATTTACTTCTGCTTGTCATTTTTAATTTGTTTCAACAAATCATATGTAAATACCAACAGTCTAATTTTCTACAATCCAGTAATGAAAAATCTGAACTTATTAGAAAGGATTAAACTTCTTCCTATGTATCTGAGGACAGCACAGGGAATCGCACTCCAGGTTCCTCAGCAGTGCACAACCAGCCATTCGTGAGCCAACTCTGCCTCCTCTCCCGCCATGACTCTGCTGTCAGAGGGTACAGTCCACACTCCTGTCACCCTGCCCGACGATGGAGTCTGCAAAAGCACCTGTGGGGGAGCATGTTTCTGAGGAAAGGGATGCTAGCTTCCAAAAGTGTCCATTGTCCTTAAACGTAAGAGTCATAATTCTAAAGATACTGAAAAAGGAACACAACTAAAGTGCAATTCCGAAAGTATCTTTAGAGAAAAGAATAATGGCCGGGCATGGCACATGCCTGTATTCCCAGCTACTTGGGGGGTTGAGGTGGGAGGACTGCTTGAACCTGGGAGGTTGAGGCTGCAGTGAGCTGTGACTGCACCACTGGACTCCAGCCTAGGGGACAGAGCGGGATCATGCCTCTAAAAAAGAAAAAAAAGAATGGAAAACGTGGCAGTTGATTTATAGCAGGTAAAAATGCATAATAGGAGGCAAAGATGCCTGTGTAAGCCAGAAGAATACTGATGGGAGAGCAATGCAGCCATCCATCTAAGCACCAACTCAACCATGTCGCCACACATCCAACCGGCCACCCCATCTACCCAGCCACCCACTCACTGAGCACACTCAGCATCAAGCAATTGCCACATTCTATGGATACAGATTAGAAAGACAAAATCCTCACCCTCTTAATCTGTCAGGGGAAGACATTCAAGCAAAATCATTTTCTAAAATGAGTCTGTGCTAACAACAGTCTTAGACATTTCAAGAAACAAAGAAGCCGTATGAAGGAATAACTCCATGTATGGATTACAAACCTCTTTTTTTGCATCTTCAAGACTGGCATCAGGACAAATGACCACATCACGGCTACACTGCACTGGGTCTTTTCCAGCCAGACCTGCAATGGTGACCTTAATCTACAAGAAAGATGTTATCATAGTTAAGAACACTGAAACATAAATTCAGAGTAACACTGTCTTTAAAAAAAAGAGAGATGGGGTCTCACCCTGTCACCTGGGCTAGAGGGCAGTAACACAATCATAGCTCACTGCAGCCTCCAGCTCCTGCGCTTAAACGATCCTCCTGCTTCAGCCTCCCAAGTAGCTGTGATTACAGACATGAGCCACCACACCCAGCTAGAGTAACATTTACACAGCTGCCCTGTTTGAAAGTAACATGGTAGGAAATACTGCACCACAACTGTATCAAATGTCAACTAATACATTGGCTAAATATATTTAATAACTAGGTCTGCCCTGGTTTGCCTGGACAGACTCTACTTATAGCTGCTGCCCTGTACTCTGTGTGACTGGACATCCTTTCTTCCACAAACGTTCTGGTTTGGGTGACCAGTTATATGATCATCCTATTAATAACTCACCTTGCAAGTTTACTGTTGCCATTTAAACCTCATGGTATTTTTGTAAAATAGAAATGCAAGTCAAAACAATGAAATACTGCTTTATCTTTCAAAAATTTTTACAGTCAACAATACCAAGAGCTGGCACTGGGAAAGTGGGAATTTTCCTACATTGCTGGTGGGACTACAAACTGGGACACTGGAGAGCAACTTGGCAAAACCTAGTCATGCTGACTATGGGCTGTCCTTCGGCCTAGTAATTCTACTTTTAGATATATAACCTCAAAAAACTTCCACACATTTGCACAAGGAAACCAACACAAAAATACTTATTACAGAATTGTAACACTATAATTAGAGGAATGGGTAGATGGTGGCATTCAGTGCAACATCAAGCAGCAATTTTAAATGAATAAACTAAATCGACATAATGTCTTCATTTCTGAGAACCAGAGGAGTATAGGGTTAACAGACTCTGGGGCCAGGCTGCCTGGGTCTGAGTTCTGGTTTTTGGACTTACTGTGTGACATGGATACATTATTCAATGTCTCTGTACCTCAGTTTCTTCAACCATAAAATGAGGATGGCGATATCTAACTCACAGGGTTGTTGTAAGGTTTATCAGCACTTAGAATGATGCCTGGCACAGAGTTAGTTCTACTTCAGTGTTCACTATTGTTAGAGAGAGAGAGAGAATATACAAACACGCAAAATGAGAACCACGGTCAAACACTACCTTAAAGACATGTGTGGGGGCAGGTGCGGTAGCTCACACCTGTAATCACAGCATTTTGGGAGGCCGAGGTGGGAGGATCAAGAGGTCAAGAGTTCAAGACCAGCCTGGCCAAGATGGTGAAACCCCATCTACTAAAAATACAAAAAAATAGCCAGGCATGGTGGCGCACGCCTGTAATCCCAGTTACTTGGGAGGCTGAGGCGGAGAACTGCTTGAACCCAGGAGGCAGAGGTTGCAGTGAGCCGAGGTCGCACCACTGCACTCCAGCCTGGGCGACAGAGCGAGATTCTGTCTCAAGAAAAAAAAAAAAAAAAAAGACATGCATGTATGGATACACAAGATTGCAAGGACAGCAGTTATCTTTAAGGAAGGAAGAAGGGGCATAGGACTGGAGAAATTTACAAAGGAGGCTTCAACTGTATTTCTTCGAAGCATTTGTTCCTTAAGAAATGAGTCTGAGGGGCCGGGCATGGTGGCTCACGCTTGTAATCATGGCACTGTAAAAGGCTGAGGCAGGCGGGTCACTTGAAGCCAGGAGTTCGAGACCAACATGGTCAACATGGTGAAACCCCATCTGTACTAAAAATACAAAAATTAGCTGGGTGTGGTGGTGGACACCTGTAAACCCAGCTACTCAAGAGGCTGAGGCAGGAGAATCTGTTGAACCTGGGAGGTAGAGGTCGCAGTGAGCAGAGATCACACCACTGCAGTCCAGGCTGGGTGACACAGTGAGACACCATCTCAAAAAAATAAATAAATAAATAAAAGGAAAGAAATGGGTCTAAGGACAGTGCAGTGGCTCACGCCTGTAGTCCTAACACTTTGGGAGGCCTGAGGTAGGAGGACAACTTGAGCTCAGGAGTTGGAGAGCAGCCTGGGCAACATGGCAATACCCTGTCTCTACAAAACATAAAAAATTAGACAGGTGTGGTGGCATGCATCTGTAGTTCCAGCTACTTAGAAGGCTGAGGTGGGAAGATGGTTTGAGCCCAGGAGGCAGGGGCTGAAATGAGCCGAGATCCTGCCATTGCACTCCAGCCTGGACGACAGAGCGCAAAACAAAAAAGAAATGGGTCTGAAGGAGACATGGCAAGATATCAACAAGCACTAAATGGGGGCAGTGGATCAACAAGTATTTATTCTTATGTAATCTCTGAAATTTTGTGTATATTTGAAATCTTTCATGAAGCACTTTTAACACTATTTTATTCAAAATGATTTAAAAATCCAAAAACCATTTAAAACACGAATGGCTAAAAATCGATGTGGGACTTACCCCAGCTCGCCTCATGACATCTACAGGGATGACCGTCTCCATTTCCTCTGCTCCTTTAGCCAGGATGACCAGAGCTCTTTTGGAAGCCATTTTTATGTTATATGTTTAAAAGGCTTAAAATAAAAAAAAAAAAAGATTTCAAAAAACTTCCACTGCAACCCTGAGATACCCCAAAATTTAAAGTTTACAAGCATTTTCAAGCAGAGTAAGTACTTCCTAGGGAAATGGTTCTCACAGACAACTGAATACGAAAAAAGCAGCAGGGTAATTATCTTAACGTTCATTTGTATAGTTTCAATTGCTATGAGATGCAAACACAATGAGGCTGCTCAAAGGTGTAGTATTGCTTAGATTTTCTTCTACCGTGTTCTCTTAAATCCAGCTTAATAGTATGTTGCAAATGAGATTTTCTAAAATACGTGGGTCTCTTGCCTTTCACACAATTTCGTGGGATTTTCTAAAGTACGTGGGTCTCTTGCATTTCACACAATGCGGGGAGACAGTCTTTTTTGAAGTACTGTTTCAGAGAAACGACTAAACTGAATTTCATGGGCAAAAATTTACATAGGGTCCTTCGCAATTAACGTGTAATTTTTTGGAGGGGATTTTTGTTTTCTCAGTTCCAATAACTGTACTAAAAAATTGTGTGTGGGGGTCAACAGTGTTAAATGTCGGAGCACTTTATGACTGAGAAAGATGGAAATCCCCTCACTGAAGTCAACCCAACTACATTCTGTCTCTCCGTGCAGAGTTCTCACTGCAAACGACAGCTACGCAACGAGGTTCCCAATCTTTTTTTTGCCTATTTAGAGATTATCTGGAGGATTTACCGTCCAAGCAAAACACAGTTTAATAAAACGGTTAGCCAGTTCCATGCCGGCGAGAGATGAAGCAGAAGATTCTGGACGCTTCAGCGTTGCCACCACGCTGGCGGTCAGTCAAGTCCAACGCCAGCGACTGGGCCCGACTGGGAGGCTGGAGGCGAGGGCGGCCCGAACCCAGGCCCCGCGCCGGTTCTGAGCCAGCGGGACACCGTCCAGGGCCCCCACGCCGCCCAGCGCCACGGCCCACACATGCGCCGCGCCCCCGCTGGCCCTGACCTGCACCCCGCCCTTCTTCCTGCAGACGCAGCGCCCCGGCCCTTAGGGGACCACTCACCCCACACCAGGCTGAAGGTGAACGCACGCCAGCACGCACGCGCGCCGCCCGGCCTCCCTCAGCCCCACACTGCGCAGACTCACGCCGCCTTGGCATCACCTGCGTCACGTCCGGCCGAGCCTACCTCCGACTGAGGCGGGGGTGGCGCCAGGGCGTTTCTAGTTGGACAGCCCTGGGTGAGGCGGTTCGCTCCCGCATGGAATCCCCCACGAATGGCACAGTCCGGCCTGCCCCCTCGCCCGCGGGGTTAACTCTCTCGGCGGGCACTCTCCGTGAGGAGCCGGTCCGTGGAGCAGCCGAGGGCTGGCGTTGTTGTCAGAGGGGTTCGTTAGTTCGCGCTCCGTGCACGCCTGCTCCCTTTGCGTTGTTCCTTTTCTGGAGCGCCTTCCTGTTTCGCCCCTGGTCTGTGAGGGCTGTGGTCCAGGCCTCCCCGGGCCTCTCCCCCACGCCTCGTCTCCCGATCTCGGGCGACTCTTGCGCATTTATTCACACCCGGATGTCTCAGCGGTGTGAATTTTTTTTTCCTCAGCATTGTTTTTTTTTTTTTTAGCGATCCTGATGCTGCCGCATCCACAGGATTAGAGCAATGCTGAGCACATAAGTCTAATAAGTACCAAGTTGGTCAGATGTATTTACATCATAATCTCAAGTTGTATTTATTGATATGTAAGAGACGTATGTGTTCTCTAAGTACATGTGCTATTTTGATACTTTAATACAATGTGTAATGATTAAATCAGGGTAAATGAGATATCACCTTAAATATTTGTCTTTATACCGGGAACATTCCAGTTACTCTCTTCTATAATAACATTTTAAAATATACAACAGATTACTGTTAACTATAGTCACCCTACAGAACTATCCAACACTAGGTCTTATTTCCTCTTGAGGAGACCACAGATCACCTGGTGACCATCAAGCAGGCCCCTTATCTGAGGAATTTAGAATTAGATATCCCTGTTATCTAAAGTTGGCACCTGATACCAGGTCTAATCAAAGGAAATAGAGCCCAAAATTCTTAAATGAACTTAGAAGGATCCTGGCTAAATGAACCCAACTTGGATTGAATTTGCAAAAGATGAGACATTGGAAAAGGGACATGAAAAATCCACCACGGCATGCTCAGTCCTGTCTTGCTGAGGATGCAGTCTTCTCCAGCGTTCTTTCTAATAAAACTTTCCTTTTTCAAACCTTGTTTGAAATTGTTGTCGATAAATTCTTCTTACCAACCAGCAAGTCGACCACTTTCTGATGCTGGGGCTCTTGACACCTTGCCCAGCACTTCTACCTATTTTTGTACCTATTAATCAGCCTGTTCATCCCCTTCTCCTGGCTACCTTTCCTGGCCTCTTGTAACCACCAACCTATCTTCATGAGATCCGCTTTTCAAGTTCCCGTGATACTTTTCTTTGCCTGATTTGTTTCACTTAACATAATGACCTCCAGTTCCATCAGTGTTGTTGCAAATAGGATTTTATTATTTTTTATGACTGAATAGTATTCCATTGTGTATATTCACATTTTCTTTATCCAGTCATCCATTGATGAACACTTCGGTTGATTCCATATTTTCGCTATTGTGAACAGTGCTAATAAGCATGGGAATGCAAATATCTCTTTGATATATTGATTTTTTTTTTTTTTTTTTTTGAGACTCCATCTTGCTCTGTCACCCAGCCTGAAGTGCAGTGGCACCATCTTGGCTCACTGCAACCTCCGCCTCTGTGTTGAAATAATTCTCGTGCTTCAGTCTCCCGAGTAGCTGAGACTACAGGTGTGTGCCACCACCCCTGGCTAATTTTTGTATTTTTAGCAGAGACAGGGTTTTACCATGTTGGCCAGGCTGGTCTTGAACTCCTGACCTCAAGTGATCCACCTGCCTCAGCCTCCCAAAGTGCTGGGATTATAGGCGTGAGCTACCGCACCTGGCCCTTCCTATTTGATATATACCCAGTACTGGGATTGCTGGATATGATAATCCATATCCAGCATATGGTATATGGTAGTTCTGTTTTTAATCTTTTGAGGATTCCATACTGTTTTCCATAGTGGCTGCACTAATTGAGATGCTTGCCAGCAGTGTATGAGGTTCCTTCTTCACATCCATCTCGGCATGTTATTCCCTTTTTGATAAAAGCCATTTTAACTGGGATGAGATGATATCTTACTGTCTTTCTTTGCATTTCTCTGATTAGTGATATTGAGCCCTTTTTCATATCTCTTGCCATTTGTATCTCTTCAGAAATGTCTATTCAGATCTTTTGCCCACTTTTAAATCGGATTGTTTTCTTGCTATTGAGCTCCTAATATATTAGTCATTAGTCCCTCATCAAATGGATAGTTTGCAAATATTTTCTCCCATTCTGTATGTTGTCTCTTTGCTTTGTTGTTTCCTTTGCTGTGCATACGCTTTTTAATTTGATGTAATCCCATTGGTCTGTTTTTGCTTTTGTTGCCTGTGCTTTGAGGTCTTTGCCCAGATCAATACCCTGGAACGTTTCCCCAGTGTTTTCTCTCTCTTCTTTTTTTTTTTTTTTTTTTTCTGAGATGGAGTCTCGCTCAGCTGCCTAGGCTTGAGTGCAGTGGCGCAATCTTGGCTCACTGCAACCACTGTCTCCTGGGTTCAAGCAATTCTCTGTCTCAGACTCCTGAGTATCTGGGATTACAGGCACCTTCCATCATGCCTGTCTAATTTTTATATTTTAGTAGAGACAGCGATTCACCACGTTGGCCACGCTGGTCTCAAACTCCTGACCTCAGGTGATCCACCTGCCTCAGCCTCCCGAAGTGCTGGGATTACAGGCGTGAGCCATGGCGCCTGGCCCCCTAGTGTTTTCTTCTAGTAATTTCTTTTCTTTTTTCTTTTTTTTTTTGAGACAGAGTCTCGCTCTGTCGCCCAGGCTGGAGTGCAATGGTGCAATCTCAGCTCACTGCAACCTCCACCTCCCAGGTTCAAGTAATTATCCCACCTCAGCCTCTGGAGTAGCTGGGATTGCAGGCACCCGCCATCATGCCTGGCTAATTTTCGTATTTTTAGTAGAGATGAGGTTTCACCATGTTGGCCAGGCTAGTCTCAAACTCCTGACCTCAAGTGATCTGCCCACCTCAGCCTCCCACAGTGCTGGGATTACAGGTATGAGCCACAGCACCTGGCCTAAATACATCAGTGTTTTTAAGGTTTCAATTTAGATATTAAAATCATGTTTCTGACCAGGCGTGGTGGCTCATGCCTGTAATCCCAGCACTTTGGGAGGCTGAGGTGGGCAGATCACGAGGTCAAGAGATCGAGACCACCCTGACCAACATGGTGAAACCTGGTCTCTACTAAAAATATAAACATTAGAGAGTGGGGACGTCCTGCTTCAGAGCGGGTATCTTCGTTGCGCCAGCGACTAAAAAGAGAATTAAATATGGGTGATGTTGAGAAAGGCAAGAAGATTTTTAAGTGTTCCCAGTGCCACACCGTTGAAAAGGGAGGCAAGTACAAGACTGGGCCAAATTTCCATGGTCTCTTCCGGTGGAAGACAAGTCAGGCCCCTGGATACTCTTACACAGCCACCAATAAGAACAAAGGCATCACCTGGGGAGAGGATACACTGATGGAGTATTTGGAGAATCCCAAGAAGTACATCCCTGGAACAAAAATGATCTTTGTCGGCATTAAGAAGAAGGAAGAAAGGGCATACTTGATAGCTTATCTCAAAAAAGCTACTAATGAGTAATAATTGGCCACTGCCTTATTTATTACAAAACAGATGTCTCATGACTTTTTTATGTGTACCATACTTTAATAGATCTCATACACCAGAATTCAGATCATGAATGACTGACAGAATATTTTGTTGGGCAGTCCTGATTTAAAACTAAGACTGGCTTGTGGTTAAATGAATATGTCCAGTTTTTGAATTTTAATAGTAATTCCAATTCAGTAAATGCTATCACTGTTTACCCCTTCTCAAGATATGATTAGACTTTGTTAGTAATATTCAACTTTTCACAAAGATGGTAAGTGCCATCTCAAAACTTAACTGGAGATTAGTTTTATATTTAGATTTATATAGCTGGTTATGTGAATATATTTAAATACCGGGGAAATTCCTTCACTGTCTCAGAACCAAGCAAAATTCACCTGTGTTTTGTGTTCATTTGCCTGGTAAAGGCAAGGGTTGAAGATAAATAAGGTAGCAATGTCTAGAGTTTTGGCCTTAATGATGCCAATCTAATTATAATTTCCTGTATTTAAAATGGTTCCTTTTACTTACTGAAAGGCATTTTAGTATGATTTATGTGTAATATTAAAGATTATTCAACACTTCTCACATCTTATAAATCTATAAGGTCACATGCTTTTAAAATACTAGCAAGTTAAACTTCACTCTTGGATTCTTTACAATCTAAGTCAAACTAAGTTATAATTTAGGATTGTCTTTAACCAGCCATTCAGAAACATAAAACTGTAGAACTGTGTATTTGTGATTGGGAATGGTGCTTTTGCCGACTTAAAAGGATTAAAGTAGCCGAGATATACACAAATTTTAAAACTATGTGTGATCACAAGACTAAAGATAATTAAAAAGAAAACCACAGATCATAAAAATATATATATATATATATATAAAAATTAGCCGGGCACGGTGGCGCACGCCTGTAGTCACAGCTACTCGGGAGGCTGAAGCAGGGGAATTGCTTCAACCTGGGAGGCAGAGGTTGAAGTGAACTGAGATTGCACCACTACACTCCAGCCTGGGCGACAGAGCGAGACTCTGTCTCAAAAAAAAAAAAGAAAAAAAAAATTGCATTTCTGCCTAATTTTTGTATTTTTATTAGAGACAAGGTTTCACTATGTTGGTCAGGTCTCGAACTCCTGACCTCAAGTGATCTGCCCACCTCAGCCTCCCAAAGTGCTGGGATTACAGTTGTGAGCCTACTGTACCTGGCCATATTTCTTTTTTTTTTTTTTTTTCTGAGATGGAGTCTCGCTCTGTTGCCCAGGCTGGAGTGCAGTGCAGTGCCACAATCTTGGCTCACTGCAAGCTCTGCCTCCCAGGTTCATGCCATTCTCCTGCCTCAGCCTCTTGAGTAGCTGGGACTACAGGCGCCTGCCACCATGCCTGACTATTTTTGTATTTTTAGTAGAGATGGGGTTTCACCTTGTTAACCAGGATGGTCTCGATCTCCTCACCTTGTGATCTGCCTGCCTTGGCCTCCCAAAGTGCTAGGATTACAGGTGTGAGCCACCACGCCTGGCCACATTTATTTCAAGAAATAAATTTTTTGTTAGTTTACAAAGCACTTTGGTGTATTTCATGTGATTCTTACAATGGTGGTGAGTGTGTTGTTTATTTTGTTTTATTTTAAAAATTGGAGCTGAGCGGGGCAGCTCATCCCAACACTCTGAAAGGCCGAGGCAGGAGGATTGTTTGAGCCCAGGAGTTGGGGACCAGCCTGGGCAACATGGCAAGGCCCTGTCTCTACAAAAAACTTAAAAAATTACATGCCTATGGTTCCAGCTACTTGAGAGGCTGACGGGGAACTGGGGGGGAATCACTTGAGCTGAGGAGGTCAAGGCTGCAGTGGGTCATGATCTCATGCCACTGCACTCCAGGCTGGACAACAGAGTGAGACTGTGTCTCAAAAAAAAAAAAAAAATGTGAATAACTGATGAACACTGAACTTGTGCAAAAGTTTGAAATGTCTTTAATCATATGACATTTAAGAAGAAACTTTTAGGAGTTCTGGAATGACTTCACTTTTGGCTATTTGCAAAGGAAGCAGCTGTGAAGGAGTGTGGAAAATAGGAATGACAGAGAGAGGAGAGACAAGTGGTCAGATGTGTGCTTCTTGAACCAAGGAGGGATACAGTTAGATGGAAGGAAAACCAAAAGAAGACAGGCTTTTTTGATCCAGTCCGCGTGGTAAACTCTTTTCTTTTTTTTTTTGAAACGGAGTCAGTCTGTCACCCAGGCTGGAGTGCAGGGGCATGATCTCAGCTTACTGCAACCTCTGCCTCCGGGGTTCAAGTGATTCTCCTGCCTCAGACTCCTGAGTAGCTGAGGTTACAGGCAAGCACCACCACACCCAGCTAAATTTTTGTGTTTTTAGTAGAGACAGGGTTTCACCATGTTGGCCAGGCTGGTCTCAAACTCCTGACCTCAAGTGATCCACCAGCCTCAGACTCCCAAAGTGCTGGGATTCCAGGCACGAGTCACTGCACCTGGGCCCGTGGTAAACTCCTAAAAGGAGTCAACACTGCTCCTACTCCTGGTCTGCTACAGCATGAAACAGCCACGATAGTGTAAAGATGACAGATGGTTCAGCAGTGAGGGCCAGAGAGAATGAACTGGAGTTAACATTCCTGAGACATACACATCACCATCAAGACCTGAAATGGACCACAGTCAGCATTAATTCTTACCAAGTGAATACACTGCACGGTTTGAAAAAGTCAAGTATTACTTGTGGCAGATTGGATTATTTTTCAGAATTAGTCACTCCCCTTCCCCCTGCATGGGTGGAGTCTACGTCCTGTCCCTTGATTTTGGGTTTGGCCTTGTTTTGGTCCATGGAATGTGAACAGACACCTGAACAAAGCCTTGAAAAGTCTGCCCTGATGATTAGGTTGTGCTCTTATACTGTTGAATTGCTGTAGGAAGAGCTTTTCCCCCAGGCAAGTTGCTGCTGTTCCCTCAACCTGGGTTTCAGAATGAACATGTGGAACAGAGTGGCCCCAGCCAACCTGCACAGCTAACAACCTGAAGCAGAGTTACTACAACCCAGGGGCGAACTGTAGCAGCCAGGTTTTGCTATGGAGCAGTAGTTAACCCATGCAGCAGCAGCCCTCTAACTCAGTCCTTCCCCTTAGCCCTGCTCCCCAGAAGCAAGTATTTTCAACTGTTTCAATTATTTCTTCTGGTAGTATATCAGTCTTTTGAAACAGTATGCTAATATTTTATTTCTCATTTATCATCTTTAGACCTTATATATTGACTTCCTGGCAGGTCTTATAAATTTCCTTCCACAGATGTGAAGGTTGAGGTCCAGAAGGGTGAAATGACTATGTAAGGTCCTGCAGTCTTGGTCAAATTCAGATTACTGATGCTAAATTTCACACTCTACCCACCATATACTGTCTACTGATTAAAAGTCAGTTACACTCAAGACACTCTACAGTTCATGCATATTTCCCATCACACATTTAGAAGATAAAACCAAAAAAAATTTTACCAAAAAATACTGCTGTACTACTGACAACGAAGACACTTCTGAGTTCAGTCTCCAATTTCCAGGCAGAACCGCCCCCATCCTATCCACTACCTTTTTAAATCAACATTTGACAACTCTTTATGCATCGCGGGAGGTACAAAGGAAGAAACTGCCGGTTTTATTTGTTTTTTAGAGACCGGGCCTGGCTATGTTGCCCAGGTTGGCCTCCACCTCCTGGGCTTAAGGGATCTTCCTGCCTCAGCCTCCCAAGTAGCTGGAACTACAGGTATAAGCAACTATGCCTGGCCAAAAACTCCGTTTTTCCAAGGAACGTAGCTTCTCGTAGCAGTTGCAACTTTTAATGATGAAATATTGCTCTGCCTGTGAAGGTCACAAGGCAATAACAGAGAAATGGCATTGACAGTGTTAGTAATAGCCACCCACGGCCATCTGGTCATCGTTCCAAAAAAACAACTCCCCTCAGAATTATCCTGATCTTAGCGGCAAAAAAAAAAAAAAAAAACCACTGCTGCCAAGTTATTGTTTTTCCATGGGTCGCTCTTAAATTTGGCATCTCATTAAGTAAACACTCTAAATCATTCTCGGCCGGGGCGGTGGCTCACACCTGTCATCCCAGCACTTTGGGAGGCTAAGGCGGGTGGATCACCTGAGGTCAGGAGTTCCAGACGAGCCTCACCAACATGGCGAAACCCTGTCTCTACTAAAAATACAAAAAAATTAGCCAGACGTGGCGGTGCACGCCTATAGTACTGGCTACTTGCAAGGCTGAGGCAGGAGAATTGCTTGAACCCGGAAAGTGGACGTAGCAGTGAGTCGAGATCGCGCCATTGCACCCCAGCGTGGGCAACAAGAGCAAAACTCCATCTCAAAATAACATAAAATAAAAATAAAAATTAAATCATTTTCTATATTTCATCTAGAGAGAGCGCATCATTCTAGCATTTTGCCTTTAGTTATTTATTGCGTCTTCCCCAGTCCTGTGAACGCCGGGAGAACCTTCTTGTCTTGGTGGTTGCTGCATCCCCAGCACACAGCAGATGCTGACCAAGTATTATCCTGCTTTTACCCTCTATTATTTGACAGCCTTCTGTATTGCTATAAATTAATATTTTACATTTGCACAACTCTACAGTTTACAATGTGATTTCAACTAATTTCTTATTCCTATTTTAATCTTATTTCTCACGTCAAATTCATCTCACCGAACTACAAAATGAAGCAGAGGAGGAATTTGAACTGTAGTTACCGGGCATAAAGAAGCCCTCTGGGGCACTGAATAGACGTAGCTGACATCATCCCATAAAGGCCGGGTTCAGGCACGCCCTACAGAGGTCCGGCAGAAACGGCGAATTTCCCCTCTGGAGCCCCCGAAAGGTTAGGTCGGCGAGACTGGAGAAGAGTGGGCGAGCCCTGACATTTGAGGCGGCGCTGGCGCAAGGGGGAAATTCTGACACCGAAGTCTGTGAGGGGCCCCGGGAACGGCTTTGCCTCTGCGCCCACCAGTGTGAAAAGCACCCCCACCGTGGCCTACCAAACACAACTCCCACGGGACGCCGGAAACCGACCGGCTGACCCGCATGTCGTAGGTCTACTTCCGGCGGCCGCAGCACGCGGCCCCCGGGATTGGCCGAGCCAGGCGGCAGTGGGCGGGACCGTCGCGTGTTCCCAGTCGCTATCGCGGTCGCGTCGGAGCTTGCAGGTCAGATCCGTCGTAAATGCGCCGGGTGCTGCTGGGCTTGGCCTGAGAGTAACAGCCCCTAAAGGTCACTTCCTTTAGAGCGTCGCGTGTGGGTCTCTGCGCCCTGGAGTCGCTTTGCCTCAGCTACCTCGCCGACTTCCGAGGGGTGGGTACGGCCCGCCGGATGCAAGGCGGGAGGTCGAGCCCTTTGGCACCTGCTGGGGCCAGATTCGTCTTGGTGACCTCAGCCCACAGGCTCAGCAAAGAACGACGACGATTTGCCTGTTCCCATCCCGCGAGCCTTGGTGTCTTGGGGAATCAGATGCAGTCTCTGATGGTTTAACCACCTGGTTGGTGGCTCATTGGAAAATCTGCAAAGCCCAGTGTGGAAGCAAGACTGTGGCTTGGACAGCGTTTTCTGTTTGTTTCTCTCCCGTTGTTTATGGAAAACACTTATTGCCATCCCTTCCATGGCATCTTATTTCTTTTCTTTTCTTTCTGAGAAGTAGAGATGGGGTCTTGCTATGTTGTTGAGGCTGATATTGAACCCCTGGACTCAAGCGATCCTCCTGCCTTGGCCTCCCAAAGTTTTGGGATCACAGGCATGAGCCACCGCCCCCAGCAAGCATCTTATTTCTTGAAGTGAGAGTAAGATCCCATTACTTAGGGTTTCAGTCAGGGGTTATTAAAAAGCCTTTTAAGATAACTTACTTGCAAATGTGAATAGCAATGCCTGCGCAGAGGTGAGTGAGGACCTAGTGAGATCTTATGTGAAACACCAAGCTCAAAAGAGTTGAAATGTTGAGTCCCTTAATATTTCCTGTTATAATTCTCTAATTCTGTTTCCATAATGCTTTCAAATTCCAATACTTTGGAAACATACAGTGATCAAGGAGTTATGCCAGTATTTCTCTCAACGGGAAGGCAAAATCCATATTCCACCCAGCGGTAGACACTTGAATGTAGCAAAACTTTTCTGGCCGACTCCCTATCCTTTACTGTATCCTGGAGATCCCTTCCTTATCTTGAGGCCCCCCTACTCTGGAGGTTGGTAAGCAGTGGCTACACCCAGGATGAGAACTATATTCTGGTGACCTTTCGTATGTCTGTAGTTCTGTGAATCTGCTGAATTTGGCAGTGACTCCTATGTAGGGGATTAAAAGTTTGAATCTTGCTACAATGTGCTTCAACAAATCCCTTCTTTCTTATCTACCACATTCGTACCTCTTAACATTCCCTCACTCAGTTTTTCTGTTTCGGGAACTTCCTGGAACTTCACTTCCTTCGTGCTTTGGCAAAAGCATTTCCTTCTGCCGGGAATACCTCCTCTACTTCCATATTAGCTTTTTTTTTTTTTTGAGATGAAGACTCGCTCTGTTACCCAGGCTAGAATTCAGTGGCTCGATCTCGGCTCACTGCAACCACTGCCTCTTGGGTTCAAGCAATTCTTTGCCTCAGACTCCCGAGTAGCTGGGATTACAGACCCCTAACACCACGCCTGGCTAATTTTTGTAATTTTAGTAGAGACGGGGTTTCACCATGTTGGCCAGGCTGGTCTTGAACTCCTGACCTCATGATCCACCTGCCTCAGCCTCCCAAAGTGCTGGGATTACAGGCATGAGCCACCGCGCCTGGCCTTTATCAGCCGGGAAAACCCAGTTAGAGTGCCAATCCCTCCAGGAAACTTTCTCTATTCCCGTAGCACTTTGCGCTCCTATTATAGAATCTGTAGGGCTGTGTGGCCTTATCTTAGTTCCTTCCACTCAAGGCTGGGAAGATTGTTGGGATGACACTTTATCTATATATGCCTCACAAGACAGTAAAACTCTTTCCAGAAGTATTTGTGGAGCGCTTGTCATGTGTTCTCAGGAGTGCTCTGGGTGCCAGGGATGCAGCAGTGAACAGTGTCCCCTCTCATGGAGCTTATGTTCCATGAGGAAAGACAGGCAATAAACAAAAGCACAAATAAATAGCATGCCAGGCGGTGGTATGTACTATGAAGGAAAACGAGGGAGAGAAAATGGAGAATAATGATGGGGGGAGGGTGCTCGTGTAGACACTGGTCAAAGAATGCTGTTTTCTGAGGAGAAAACCCAAATAAGATGAGGGAGTGGCCGGGTGCAGTGGCTTCCGCCTGTGGAAACACAGAAGAACAGGAGACGGATCTTGTGGAGAACGACTTTTGTGTGGAATTATTTGGTAGAAAATGCTGATCACCACCAAAAAGCTCAGGAGGAAACTCTCCTGGTGTTGCCTTGCTTTTGATTTGTTGAATAAGAACACTTGAATGCTAACTGACAGTAGTTGAGATGAATTTGTATATTCTTTAATTTTAATAGTACTTTCCTTCCCAAGGGCTAAGGTGAATGCTGGGGATGGGGAGCTAGTACCCCACAGCCAGAAGCTGGCCTTCAGTACAAAGTCATGTTACTTCAGGATAATGTTGCCTTTTGGGGTGATACTGCTTTGATCACAGTTGTCACTTGCACCCCAAAGAATAGTTTTCCCCTTAATGGCATGTAGCAACTCTCTCTCTCCATCCGAATTTAAAAATAAAGAGCACGTGTTTACTTAATGGTTTTTGATTATGTGCTCTTATTTTAAGCGAGTCTAACTTCCTCCAAAAAGTGACTACTATGAGGCTATCCATTCTGCTCTTTATCACATTTCTCAAAGTTTAAATTGATCGTCAGTTTCTTGGTAGTCATTCATGTAGATGAGCTCTGATGTGGTTTCCAACTCAGCTCTTAAACCACTGAATTGACAGTCTTACCCTTGGTTGCTGAGTCAACAAATCTTGTTACTAATTCACAGGAATACACCATTACAGTTAGCTCCTACGTTAGTCATACCTCTTGGTCAGATGTTAAGGTAGCTTTGGAATGAGACAACACCCATTTTCATCCCTGTTGTCTCCATTCCTTAAATGTGGCAGTATGGTGTGGTGGCAGAGCCTGTTCTCACTCTCTGAGTCCAGCCTATCTGGATTTAAGCCCAGCTCTGTCCCATGCTAGCTAAGTAATCTTGAACAAATGAGTTATCCCTCATGCCTCAGGTTCCCCATCTATAAAACGGGGATCACAGAACCTGTGTACTTCACAGGGTCACTATGAGGATTAAATGAATTAATATAGGTAAAGCTGGAACACTGGCCTGGAGTAAACCCTCAAATGCCTTACCTCAGGAATACAACTCCCTTGGCTTCTGTTTCTTCACATTAGAATAGTAACAATAATTCTCACCTCATGGAGTTCCTGCATTGCAGATGTTATGCTCAACATTTTTTTGTGTTCATCTGTGAGACGGAGTCTCACTCTGTTGCCCAGGCCAGAGTGCAGTGGTGTGATCTCAGCTCACTGTAACCTCTGATTCCCAGGTTCAAGTGTTTCTCCCACCTCAGCCTCCCAAGTAGCTGGGACTATAGGCGCATACCACCATGCCCAGCTAATTTTTGTATTTTTAGTAGAGACGATATTTCACCATGTTGGTCAGGCTGGTCTCAAACTCCTGACCTCAGGTGATCTGCCCACCTCAGCCTCCTAAAGTGCTGGGATTACAGGGATGAGCCACTGCACCCGGCCTGTGCTAAACACTTCAAATATTTTATTTAGCCTCTTCAGAAGGAAACAAAATCTGTCTTCTGAGGCTGAATAAAACATTGAAAGTGTTTCGCATAACATGCAATGCAGGAAGCCACCCATAATTATTAGCTATTATTATTAGAAAACATTTATTTATCAGTAGTCACAATCTGTTTACATTCAGTGATGAAAGGACCAGAGGAATGGACCACAGAAAGTGATACACCGTAAACACATGCCATCTTGGTGAGGATGGCGAGGGACAGAAATGACATAGAGTTTTTGCCTTAAGATACAATGACAGCATCTGGAGAAATAATCAAAGTGAAGCTTGCTCTTAGAGTAAGAGCAAGTTCCCAGAGCTCAAACTGTTTAAGCGCATGAGCGACAGCAAAGAGACTTCATACAGGGGTTGTGACCCTAAGGTCCACAGATGCCCAAGAGTGCACAGATAAAAATCAGGGAGTCTGTGAACTTAGATGTAAAATTCCATCTTTGTTTTCACTAACCTGTCATGGAAATCTAACATTTCCTCCCATTTTGAATACAGTAATTCACAAAGCATAGCTGAAGGAACAGTACTCATGGCTTGGGACCAATAGTACTGAAGGTCATAGTCATATCACATTACAGTTCTTGCAGATATCCCAGAATACCATGTCAACTCATGATTAATTTGAAATTATGCCAGATATATGTTAAGTCCATACATGAGTGCATCACGAATTGGCTTTTAAGATATTTGGCAGGTACATTTCAATTCAGTTGGTTTCTTTTGTAATCTTTTGTAGTATCTTTTATGAACTACAAATCCTATTCTGAGGGCTCCACAAGCATAGGACCCACAAGTGAACGGGGCCTTGGGCACAGGCAGGTTAAGAGCATGGGTTCTGCAGCCAGACAGCTAAGTTTCTAACCCTTTCTCATCTCCTTCCCAGTCAGGTGACACTGGGCAGGCTACCTGGCTTCTCTGTGCCCTTGTTTCCTCACCTGTGAAACAGGGACAAAGGCTGTCCTAAGGTGTAATTGTGGGAACTCATGTAGACTCATAGAATAGTGCCTTGCACGTAGTAAGCCCTCAGCCAGTGTTAGCCGTGATCGGAAAAGCATTTTACATGAGGCCTGAGAAAGGACAATGGCAGCTCGGGTTGGGGTCTGCATGCCAGAATGATTTTCCCAGGAAGAGAGTGAAAATGAAACGTTAGGTCATGAAGAGATAGGCAGACGGCAGGACTGGAGTGAACGCATTCGTGTATTTCTTTGTTCATTTGATAAAGGTTTATTGACTACCAACTGCGTGTCTCTCAGCACTGGCTCTAACACTTTTGGGTCCTGCAGCAAATATAGAAATGGAACCCACATACCATGTTCGAATATTTACTAGTGGCAAATCAAACACAAGGAGAATATTCTACTTCACAGAGAAGTCTTCAAAGTAACTAACCAATTATATTTATGTGACAAAGTTGGCAAAGATGACTGAGTTTAATATTACAGATGTGTAGATGTTTTCTGATGACCTGAAAATGTTTAACTTAGTGGTAAATAAAGGCATACAGGGCCAGGCATGGTGACTCACGCCTGTAATCCCAGCACTTTGGGAGGCCGAGGCGGGCAGATCACCTGAGCTCAGGAGTTTGAGACCATCCTGGCCAATGCAGTGAAACCCCGTCTCTACTAAAAATACAAAAATTAGCAGGGTGTAGTGGCGCACACCTGTAGTCCCAGCTACTCGGAAGGCTGAGTGGGGAGAATCACTTGAACCCAGGAGGCAGAGGTTGCAGTGAGCCGAGATCATACCACTGCACTCCAGCCTGGGTGACAGAGCGAGACTTTGTCTTAAAAAAAAAAAAAAAAAAAAGACACACATAGTTCATAAATTACCATATTTTTACCATAAAATTTATTTTTCTTGCTTTCATTTGTTACAATAGATAATTTTGCATAATTTGTATTTGGACAGTAATGACTTAAAGGATTAAGAAATAAAATATAATTATACTTAATATATACAGCATTTGTATGTATTTAATATAAAATGTGAATTTGAGTATGTAAAATTTTAAATTTGTTTTTATGTTCATTTTTTCATTTTTCTAAAAGTTTCAAAATTATTAGAATTAAAAACAAATAATAGTGGATAAATATCAAGTATTTAAAACTTATTTTTATTAAAGAACTGAGATTTTTAACCTTTTGAAATTTAAATTGTTTTAAATATTTTTATAAAAATTGAAATTGTCATTCTGAGGCTAGTCCTAGGTGATTCTAGTAAAGAATTAATGCTGCAGTTCTTAGTCTACATATTACATATGTGCATATTCAAGAATAATATGAATTATTTAATATTACAAAGGCTTCCTCAGACTTTATGCATAACTGCTGTGAATTCCATGGCAATATACAAGAACTTCCAAAACCGCCAAGTGGACCATAAATAGGATCAAGCAAGTGGATAACCAGCCTGAGCAACATGGCAAAACCCCTTTCTACAAAAAAATACAAAACTTAGCTAGGCAAGGTGGTGCGCACCTGTAGTCCCAGCTACTTGGGAGGCAGAGGCAGAAGAATCCGTTGAACCCTACAGGTGGAAGCTGCAGTGAGCCGAGATTGCACCACTGCACTGCAGCCTGGGTGAGGTCTCCAGAGTGAGACCCTGTCTCAAAAAAAAAAAAAGTGGATACTTGGGACTGCTGGGAAATAACACTGTGATATTCTTGCATAGTGATAGATTATACAAGAATCTGTTACACCCTTAGTATCTGAGATGGATTTGACAAACCCACTTGCCGTTTGTCTGCCTGGTACTCCTATGGCTCACACCTTCCCTGCTGTCCTTGCAGGCAACAGCACAGCCCACAACCCTCACAGCACAGAGTCAGCCTCAAGTGGAGTTTCAAGAACATGGATCTAGTGATGTGGGGGAGTCTTCACCCAGGCCTGGCAGTGTGGGTCCAGAGAGCAGACGGAGCCGAGTTATGCGTCCCTATGCCAGCACCATGCACCAGACACCCAGTCACAGACGCACCTCTGTGTTCATTGTGTGTGTGTGTTTGTGTCTGTACTCTGGACAGAACATACTTCACAGCGTATTTGGATTGATGAACAATTTCTAAATATTTGGACACATGGTAAGCAGGCCTCTGTGTGTACTCTTGCCCTGGGGATTGCACAGTGTTGGAGGTGGTCTGAAGTTGGAGACAACTATTGATAAGTCTTCTTATATGAGTGGATGCCACCTAGAGAAAGGGCAGAACAAGGAGGAAAGGTGGGCAAAGTCGACGACCACTGACACCTGCCTCTCCTTATGATTCATACTTCCTTCTCCTTACTCTGCCTCCTTTTTGATTTCCTACTCATTTTCTTTGTTCCAAGTTTAAAAACAAGGTACTCCTTCCCAGGCCTCAGAACACCTACTGACATCACAAGCACCAGATATGTCTGATAGTGACTACTAGTTTGGGTGTTTGGGGTAGGGGTGGCGACGTTGAATCTTGAAAGAATAGCTCTTTCGGGCAGATAACAAGTGTCAATAGTGAATATCCCACAGATGAGATTCGCTCTAAGATGCGCCCTGGAAGGACGGAAGAATATTTTATAGGAAGCTTATTTTGAGGGCTTTCTCTTTTTAAATGTCTTCTTTATCTTGTTGAGAATTGTTGGGCCTTCATGCTATTTAGCCTCAAAGTATTTAGCTGCTTGAGATATTCAAGGTTAGACCTATAGTCAATCAAAATGAAATAAAATCTATTTCTTGGTTTGTTTATTTATTTATTTATTTATTTATTTATTTATTTATTTTTTGAGACAGAGTCTCACTCTGTAGCCCAGGCTGGAATGCAGTGGCACGATCTTGGCTCACTGCAAGCTCCGCCTACTGGGTTCACGCCATTCTCCTGCCTCAGCCTCCCCAGTAGCTGGGACTACAGGCGCCCACCACAACGCCCAGTTAAATTTTTTTTTTTTTTTTTTGTATTTTTAGTAGAGACGGGGTTTCACTGTGTTAGCCAGGATGATCTTGATCTCCTGACCTTGTGATCCATCCACCTTGGCCTCCTAAAATGCTGGGATTACAGGTGTGAGCCACCATGCCCGGCCTATTTCTTGGTTTAGAATGAGATGTTTAGGATGTAATGAAACGTATTATTAATACGGCTAACGTGTTGCTGTCTTGTTGGTGTCATCTCTGATTTAGTTTGAAATGGTTTTATGGAATAGAATAACATCATTGCATTTGAAAGATTACAGGGCTACAATGGATAAAGCAATATGATATATATTATAAAGCAAATGAAAATTATACCAAAAGAGTATTACACCTTTGCCTAGCTTAGATAGTATGTATATCTGGTTAACTATATAATTTGCCTTAGCTTACTATGATGATTTTATACCACACAAAAATGCATGCAGTAAGATGAATTCTTTCTTTCTTCCTTTTTTTTTTTTTTTTTGAGACAGTCTAGTTTTGTTGCCCAGGCTGGAGTGCACGGGTGCAAACATGGCTGACTGCAGCCTCGACCACCCAGGCTCAAGCAATCCTCTCATCGCAGCCTCCCGACTAGTTGGACCCACAGGCGCATGCCACCAAACCCAGCTGATTCTTGGATTTTTTGTAGAGACAGGGTCTGGGCATCTTGCCCAGATGGTCTTGAAATCTTGGGCTCAAGCAATCCTCCCACCTCATCCTCCCTAAGTGCTGAGATTACAGGTGTGAGCCACTGTTCCCGGCCATGAATTTTTTAAACGCCTGAATAAAGTTGAGCATAGCCTTCAGTAGCATAATTCTGAAGTGGTTGATTTTGTTTAACTGTGGGCTGGCAAAACTAATGTTGAGACTCTTTTAGCTCAGTAAAGACTCTTATGTTACTGGCATAAAAGCCTGAGACAGTGAGCTAATTACTGTGCTGGGAAACTAAATATGTCACTTTCAGAGGAGGTAATGTCTGTGCCTACAGAATGTCCAAAACATAGACTAGTGAGTGGCATTTAGTTAAATGAAATACGGCCCAGTTAAATGTCACACTGCAATGTTAAACAGAGTACCACATGTAAGCGAGGGGGTTACTTGGTTAGATGGTGACTTTCAAAGTGTTAGGAGGGGATCAGCAGTCTGATTTTTATGGTGCGACACTCTCACATTCAGCCAATTTCTGCCAAAGTGGGGCAAGGAGGGATCCCACAGTTGTCACAGGTAAGATGACTCTCAGATGATCGTCAGTATTTGGGAACACATTTTGTAGGCAGCTCATGCATTTTTCTCCTTTTCTGTCATGACCTGCCCTGTGGTCGCTCTGCTGATGATCGGTGTGGGAGATAGGGAAGGAACATTTCAAACCAGTAAGTCTGATCATTAACAATTCCTACTTTCTTGAGAACTATGTGCCAAGCATTGAGCTAAGTATTTCACGCTCATTGTCTCATTTAATCCTCACTCACGAGGAAGACCTATGATGTTACTGTACCTATAAGATGTACTTGGAAAAACGGAGTTAGGGAGGTTGAGAAATTTGCTCAAGGTTACACAACTGAGGCAGGAGAATGGGGAACATGAGGCGGGAGAGAGCAAAGTGAATAAAAATCACTGGGAACAGGTAACCCGCTCACCTGTGGGAGTGGCCAGCGGGAGACAGGCTGCCTGAGGGGAGGAAGCTCCCCAGGACCCGCTGCAGACCCAGGGCCAAGGGTCCCGCAGGAGGAAACGCGGGCGCGGTGGGGCTGGCTCCAGGCACGCGGGCAAAGGGCAGGAGGGTGGGACACGAAGCCGCAAGGCTCCTTGGGTTCCTCCTCCTTCCTGTCTGCCTTCTACTCTGCGGCCTGATCTCCGAGTCCCTCTGCCTGCAGGCGGTGGCACAAAGGCCGCATCTCCGCGCTGTCCCCGAACCGAGTCGCTGCGCGTTTTCCTGTTCTGACCCGAGAACTCACGCTGGGTACCGCGGGGCAGGGCGACAGCCCGAACTACTCTCGATGTCGTTCCCCAGCCCACGCCTGCTCCAGCCACAGTTCCCCTGGTTTTCCTGAGGTTCTCCAGCTGTTCAGTGATGGGCAGGTTCATCTACAGCCTGGAGCAACCGCATCCTCCTCCTCCTCCTCCTCCTCCTCCTCCTCCTCCTCCTCCTCCAGAAACTCCTCTTTTTCCTTCTCCTCATTCTTCCTTCTCATTCTTTCTCCTCCTCATTCTTCCTCTTCCTCTTCCTCCTCCCCTTCTCTTTTTGTTCTTTTCTTCTTCCTTCTCTTCCTTTTCTCTTTATTTTCCTCCTCCTCTCCCTCTTCTTTCTCCTTCTCCTCCTCCTCCTCTCCCTCTTCTTTCTCCTTATCCTCCTCCTCTCTTCTTACTGTTCTTTTTTTTTCCTTCTGTTTTCTGCACTTCTGCCCTCCGCTTCCTCTTCTTCCTTTTTTTTTTTTTTTTTTTTTTTTTTTGAGGTGGAGTCTTGCTCTGTGGCCCGGGCTGGAGTGCAGTGGCGTGATCTCGGCTCACTGCAACCTCTACTTCCCAGGTTCAAGCGATTCTCTTGCCTCAGCCTCAGTAGCTGGGATTACAGGGGTCCACCGCCACCCCACCCCCCACCCCCCACCTCCCCCCACCAGCTAACTTTTAGTAGAGACAGGTTTTTGCCATATTGGCCAGGCTGGTCTAAACCTCCTGACCTCAGGTGATCCACCTACCTCAGCCTCCCAAGTGTTGGGATTATAGGCATGAGTTACCACACCTGGTCTCTTTCTCCTTTATTTATTTATTTTTTAAGAAAAATTGAAATCATGGTTTTCTGAAAATCCCTTCTAGCTCTCAGCTTCCCCGAATCAAGTCCTGGTCATTCACTTGCCGTGCGACTGCTGTGCTTCCCCTTTTTCCATTTCCCTCCATTTCTCCCTCCTTCCTCCCTCTGTCACCCATGCAGCGAAGAGCACGGTAAGGGACCAGGCAGACACGGGTTCCAACCCCGCAGGCTCCCTGTCCTGTTGACGCTCCGACTCCACCTGCGGCCCCAGTTTCCTCATTTGCATAGTGTTCCCCCAGTAACAACAGCAGTCATACAAAGTTCTAGGGTTCTTTCGAGGATAGTGTGTATTCACCACAGTACACCTCTGACGCCTGGTACGTCGGCTGTGCTCAAGTAATGACAGCTATTGCTTTACAGTAACTGTATGCTGATCATTATTTTGAAGTTGGTTTCATCCCTCTAATCTCAAATCCAGTATTTTAGGGACATGCTAAATGGTTTGTCCTGGAGAGCTGTGTTAAGGGACAAAATCCTTTTCCCTACATCAGCTATGACACATCCTGACAGTAGAGAGCAGCTTCCAAGAAGCAATTTAAAGTGCCATTATCAGGCAGGGACAGGGGCTCTAGGGGATTTTGGGGTCAGCAGATGTGAAATGAACAATTTCACAGAGCTGTTACAGAGCGGTGATGGGAATTTCCTACGAGACCCCGCCCCCGGCTGAGTCACTCCCCGTGTTTGACCTGAAGTCCTCCCCCTCCCGAGCTGCAGAAGCCTGAAGACCAAGGAGTGGAAAGTTCTCCAGCAGCCCTGAGATCGCAAGGTCTGTCCATTTGGGGGAGTGGGTGGGGGCACTGAGAGGGGGTGAGGATAGAACTTTTGCTCCCTTTGCCCATTTCTAGACTTTTTCTCCTTCTAATTTATAGTAACTTCTCTTCAATAGCCCATTAAATAAACATCAATAACTTGGCCTGAAGAGAGTTTTTCACTCCTGAGTTTTGTTACCATACAAGCTTCACATCTCAGAACATGTCTGTGTTGAAGAAAATGTGTTAGTGAGTTGAACAGGGAGGTCTTTCCTCATGTTAGTAGTTAGGTGTTCAGCTAAAGGGGGAAGAGTGATTTTGTGATAGCTTCTTCTTGAACTGAATTGTCTGATGCCCCCGACAGATCAGATTCTGTTTGTAAGGAGTTTATTCCAGGGGCAGTAAGTAATTGGCATTATTGCTGGATGGTACTGCAAAGTACCTATGAAAGTCCCCAAAAGTTCTGGCTATTGTTATTTCCGCATTTCGGCAGAACATGATGGAAAATGCACCCTCAGACTTTGGCAAACGTGCACAAAGCAGTGTGTTTAATCATGCCTGCCTTGTTGTAGTGGTTTCTATGAATTTGCTACTTTTCCATAATATTGCATCATTAATTGTTCCTGAAAAACCCTGAGTTTTCCTCTTGTAGAATTGTATAGGTCATGATTGCAAATAGATAATTTTGAAAGGAGAAACCACCTTTCCTTGGAAATATTTACCTTTTGCAGAGTGACATTTGTGAGACCAGCTAATTTGATTAAAATTCTCTCGGAATCAGCTTTGCTAGTATCATACCTGTACCAGATTTCATCATGGGAAACAGCTGTTACAACATAGTAGCCACTCTGTTGCTGGTCCTGAACTTTGAGAGGACAAAATCATTGCAGGATCTGTGTAGTAACTGCCCAGCTGGTGAGTACCCAGTTATCATGTGCATTTGATCTGTTCTGTTGGAAGTACGGTTCAGTTAGTCTAGTAGTCAGAGCCAATGAGCTTCTTTTAAGGAAAGGAAAATGAAAATTCATTCATTTACAAATATTTATTGGATGCTACAACCTAGCTGTGTGAACACAGCAGTCATTCAACCTCTTGTGCCTTGACTTTCTCATCTGGGGATAATAAGGGAACCTGTTTTATAGGATGGCTGGGAGGATCAAATGAAGGGCTTAGAACAGTGCATGGCACATGGCAAGACTGTGGTATTTATTTGTGGCAATTATTTGTGGACTGAACTTTCTAAATATTAGAGGAAACATTCATTTGACAAGACAGAAGTTTTTACTTACCAAAATGTAAATAAATGTTAGTTTTGTGTGTAGGACTTTGTGCTCAGACTGGGGGCATAGCAGCGAGTAAGTGGGTGGTAAAGGGCTTAACAGAGTGGAGAAAGTCAGGCGCATTTAAATTTTAGTGTAGGACATTGATGTCCTCCTGGATCCAGTCATACTCATCTCCTAGATCAATCAAGATAATAATTGTGTTTTATTCAATAGATAAAGTATTTTCTTTCTGCTGATTTATTTGTTACAATATCTGGTTTTTTGTTTGTTTGTTTGTTTTGAGACAGAGTCCCACTCTGTCACCCAGGCGGGAGTGCAGTGGCATGATCTCAGCTCATTGCAACCTTGGCCTCCCGGGTTCAAGCAGTTCTCCTGCCTCAGCCTCCCAAGTAGCTGGGATTACAGACATGCACCACTGCACCTGGCTAATTTTTGTATTTTTAGTAGAGACAGGGTTTCACCATGTTGGCCAGGCTGGTCTTGAACTCCTGACCTTAGTTGATCTGCCCGCCTTGGCCTCCCAAAGCGCTGGGATTACAGGTGTGAGCCATTGCACCTGGCCTGTATTTTGTTATTTCTAATTCTGTGATTACACAAAGAATAATCTTGCAAATGTATCGTTTTAGGAAGTCAGTCAAACTAATGCCTATCACTGTGGCATCTAGAAAACTCATCATTCTTTTATAATCCTATTTTCTTGTAAACTTCAGAATGCCTTGGGTGACGATTGCCCATTGTCAAATGTGTACCATTATTGTTTGCCTTTCTTAGGTACATTCTGTGATAATAGCAGGAATCAGATTTGCAGTCCCTGTCCTCCAAATAGTTTCTCCAGCGCAGGTGGACAAAGGACCTGTGACATATGCAGGCAGTGTAAAGGTATGAGTTCAAAGATATTTTCTTCTTCTAGAAGATAGTTGGGAAGATAAGCTTTTCTTTCCTTTTTACTAACTGCTCTCTTTTGAAAATCTCAAGTGTCAAAGACTATGATTCTTCTGACAACTAGCAGGTCCAGTAAAATAATATCGGGTGACAGCAATTATTTGTGGACTGAGCTTTCTATATATTAGAGGAAAGATTCATTTGACAAGAGAGAAGTTTTTACTTACCAAAATGTAAAAATGTCGTTACGGAGATTTAAAAGTAAACTTTAAAATGACTGGGAACACTGTAGTAGAGTGAGCATGATTGTTACTGCAGAGTGTAAATTCGCTTCCTGGATTTGGAGGTCAAGTGTAATAAAACGGGGGCTGGGGGGGACTTTGTAGGTGTTTTCAAGACCAGGAAGGAGTGTTCCTCCACCAGCAATGCAGAGTGTGACTGCATTTCAGGATATCACTGCCTGGGGGCAGAATGCAGCATGTGTGAACAGGATTGTAAACAAGGTCAAGAACTGACAAAAAAAGGTACGTTTGCGCTTCTTTGATCTAGAGTAGTTTTGTGATGTAGACAAACTTAGCTTAGGTCTTAATCCTTTGAAAATAAACAGATTTGTAGAACCTTAAAGTAACAAGTGAGTATATGATATTTAATTAATAAAAAATATATAAAATAAAATAAATTTATATATTTATATAATATATAAAATAAATATATATAAAAATAAAATAAAAATATATCCTATTTTAATTAATAAAATATTTTCGTTATTTCTTCATAAATGGAAATAATTTGAAATCAGAACATTTGTTAATTACCAGAACCATTCATCTTCACACATTTCAGACATAGACAATACTATATGTACAGTTAGAATAAAAACTAGCCATCTTAGGTCGTTGTTTCAAGAATTATAGAATAATTTGTGCAGATTGCATTACGGTAATGACTTTATTAAGTTCATCACAGGGAAAGTTACCAAATGATGAAAACGCATCCTTTTTGTTATTGCTTTCGTTTTTAACGCAAGGTTGTAAAGACTGTTGCTTTGGGACATTTAATGACCAGAAACGTGGCGTCTGTCGACCCTGGACAAAGTAGGTATCATTTCCTTTAGTTTATGGAATAAAGAATCTGGGTTAAATTTTTTGGAAGATAAGGAATGCTATCATTGAAGCTTATTTTGCACCCATCAAGTGTAGACAGAATGTAACATACTAATAGGCAGCGTGGGAACACTGTGAGGTTGTAGCAACTCAATAGGCAAAGTGGGCATTTTCTCCAGAAACAGTGCCTGGAACATTTAGATCAGAATTGCTAGTGGAGGGTGGGCACGTGCAGCACTTTGGGAGGCTGAGGCAGGAGGAATGCTTGAGCCCAAGAGTTCGAAACCAGCCTGGGTGAGACCCCGTCTCTACAAAAAATCAAAAAATTTGCCAGGCATAATGGCACATGCCTATAGCCTTCCCAGCTATAGAGAAGGCTGATGAGGCAGGAGGATCACCTGAGTCTGGGAGGTTACGGCTGCAATGAGGTATGATCACACCATTGCACTCCAGATCAAAGACCCTATCTCAAAAGAAAGGAAAAGAATTGCCAGTGGAACTTTGCCACTGTCTGCCTCTTCTCTGTTTCCTTCTCATTCCTTTGCTGCCTGTTATCTTCTCTCGTTGATCAGCCCATCTCCACGTGCTCAATGCGAGCCCCTAGAATGATACAGAAGTAACTAATTGCTCGTTACCCTCCAAAATGTGGCACACACTTGGGCACACAAGGCCATCACAGGTGGTAAAAAGCCAGTAGTATATGAGAGAATGTGACTGTTGTTTTGTGGAACCAGAACTCACACTGTGGTCTGTGGATAGGTGCTGGTCCACAAATGGCTTGTCTTGTGCCCCCATCAACAGCGGTGTAGGGTTAGAGAGTAAGCATTTAGAAACTTTTAAGGCAAATTGGCAGAGTAATGTGGTCTGTTGACTAAGAATAAAAATTTGGGCATTGTATTTTATATGTATTTGTTCTTTTTCCATTTGATTTTCTTACTAGAAAATCATTTTTATTATTTTACTTTTACATTTTTATTGTATTTCAAAAGTATATTGGTTTATAACAGACTGGAAAGTGACTTTTTTGGAGAGAAAATAAAGTGTTTTAAAACAGGAATCATGGTATCCCTCTGCTTTTGTTATTTACAATTTATCAGCATCAGAGTGGCTGACAAATGAAATCGTGATTCACAAGAAAAGTATTAACTGTTTTCTCGGACTTAGCTGAATTCTCTCTTTGGAAAGTGGTTTTTTTAAAAAGGTCTGTTTTGTTTGTTTTTGTTTGTTTGTTTGTTATGAGATGGAGTTTCACTCTTCTTGCCCAGGCTGGAGGGCAATGGCGCGGTCTCGCCTCACTGCAACCTCCACCTTCCAGGTTCAAGCAATTCTCCTGCCTCAGCCTCCGGAGTAGCTTGGATTACAGGTGCACGCCACCACGCCTGGCTAATGTTTTTGTATTTTTAGTAGAGATGGGGTTTCACTATGTTAGCCAGGCTGGTCTTGCACTCCTGACCTCAAGTGATCCACCTGCCTTGGCTTCCCAAAGTGCTGGGATTCCAGGCATGAGCCACCGTGCCCGGCTGGAAAGTGGCTTTTTTAAAAAAGTCTTTCAATACGAATTTTTCAGAGTTTTTAAGTGAGTCTGCGTGGAAGAGTGGGCTTAATCCGGCTCCGGATGATGGGTGGATTTGGGGTAGGTAAAGGGTCGAGGGAAAGGCGTAACAAGAACAGCAACAATGATGGCGGTAATGGTGATGATGATGATGGCTGCCATTTACTCAGCGTGTCAGACGTGCAAGAGTGTGTCACTGACTCTCACTCGTTTGTTCTTTGAAACAGTTCTGGCAGCACATACAATCCTAATTTTGCAGATGAGAAAACTGAGGCTTAGGGAGGTTTCATTTTTCTTTTCTTTTCTTTCTGAGACAGCATCAAACTCCTGGGTTCAAGTGATCAGCCTGGAACTCCTGGGTTCAAGTGATCCTCCCACCTCAGTCTCCTGAGTAGCTGGGACCACAGGCATGCACCACCAGCTAATTTTTTTGGTTTGTTTTTTAATTTTTGTAGAGATGGGGTCTTGCTGTGTGACTCAGGCTGGCCTCCAACGCCTGGTCTCAAGTGATCCTCTGGCCTCAGCCTACCGAAGCGTTGGGATTGCAGGCGTGAGCCACCGTGCCTGGCTACAGAGATTTCTTAACTTGCCCAAGGTCATTCTGGAAAGCAGCAGACCCAGGGCTCAAACCCCGGTTTGCCTGATGCCAGTGCTGGACCTCCTAATCCTATGCTAGCCTTCATCTGTGCCAGAGATGGTCAAATCTGATTAAGAAACTGGGGGTGAGAGACTAACCAGGCAAAACAGCCTGTCACCGAACAGAAGGAAGCCATGGAAAGCTGCAGGGAGGTAGATAGTCAAGTGGAAGTTTCTCAAAATATCTCTGCATTGCCTTCAAACCCAGACCCATATATCTTTTTCACTAGGCTACTTCATTGGGTAAAAACTGACAAAGTTTTAAATCCGAATCGTCTGGACCTAAGTTAATTATTTAAACTCTTTTCATTGAACTGTCTAAGCTGTTCTTTGGATGGAAAGTCTGTGCTTGTGAATGGGACGAAGGAGAGGGACGTGGTCTGTGGACCATCTCCAGCCGACCTCTCTCCAGGAACATCCTCTGCGACCCCGCCTGCCCCTGCAAGAGAGCCAGGTAGCTGGGCTATGCCATTCAATCAAAGTGCCTGTCTTATGGCGATTCCAGATGGTATCTAAATCACCCCAATATCATGATGTCTCACATCTCCACCTACAACAGGCACCACCCACGTGCATTCCTTCCTGAATCCTGCCCTTAGGGACCCAGCAGGTTCCTTCCCAGGCATTTGTTATTCAGTCTGAGATACACATTTGTAAGCAGTGCCAGAGGACACTTCACCCAGACAGAGTCTATATCTTTATCAATGCCAAGGAAAGGGGATTATAGGGTCCCATATTTTATTTTATTTTATTTTATTTTTTAAGAGAGCAACAATGTGCCAGCCTTGCTCTGTGCCAGGCTGGAGTGCAGTGGCGTGATCTTGGCTCACTGCAACCTCCACCTCCTGTGCTCAACCAATCCTCCCACCCTAGCCTCCCCAGTAGCTGGGACTGTAGGCACCCACCACCACACCTGGCTAATTTTTGTTTTGTTTTTTTTTTTTTTTTGGTAGAGTTGGGGTCTTGCTATGTTGCCCAGGCTGCTCTCAAACTCCTGGGCTCAAGCAATCCCCCTGCCTTGGCCTCCCAAAGTGTTGGGATTACAGGCGTGAGCTGCCGCGTCCGGCCCCTGGGTCCCGTATTTTCTATGTGCTAGAAAGGATAAACTGCTTAATTTTTGTTAAAAAATTAAACTAGGAAAACTATTAAGTTTCTTTCTTTTTTTTTTTGAGACGGAGTCTCTGTCACCCAGGCTGGAGTGCAATGGCGCGATCTTGGCTCACCATAACCTCCGCTTCCCAGGTTCAAGCGATTCTTCTGCTTCAGCCTCCTGAGTAGCTGGGATTACAGGCGCCCACCATGGTGCCCGCCTAAGTTTTGTATTTTTGGTAGAGATGGAGTTTCTCCACGTTGGCCAGGCTGGTTTCAAACTCTTGACCTCAGTTGATCTGCTCACCTTGGCTTCCCAAAGTGCTGGGATTGTAGGCGTGAGCCACCACGCAGCCATTAAGTTTTTTTTTCTTTTCTTTTTTTTTTTTTTGAGATGGAGTCTCGCTCTGTTGCCCAGGTTGGAGTGCGGTGGCGCCATCTCAGCTCACCGCAAACTCCGCCTCCCGGGTTCAAGCAGTTTTCCTGCCTCAGCCTCCCAAGTAGCTGGGACTACAAGTGCCTGCCACCACTGTGTTGGCCAGGCTGGTCTTGAACTCCTGACTGTAAGTGATCCTCCTGCTTCGGCCTTCCAAAGTATTGGGATTACAGGCGTGAGCCACCATGTCTTGCCTTTTTAAAAGTTTTCCAAGTTTACTCCATTAGCAGGTTGGAGATGCCCAAGGCTCTGATTCTTCTCATGCTTAGGAGTTTACCAGTGTAAATATACACATGGGTGTATGAGTGTCCATACATTTCTGCATGCGTTTCTCCTTTTGCTGTGTTTTGCAGGACACTCTCCGCAGATCATCTTCTTTCTTGCGCTGACTTCGACTGTGGTACTCTTCCTGCTGTTCTTCCTCGTGCTCCGTTTCTCTGTTGTTAAACAGGGCAGAAAGAAACTCCTGTATATATTCAAACAACGTAAGATTAACATAATCATATTAGAGCTCTGGCAAAGCAAGGCTTTTTATAATAGAAAGGAAAAGATGATTTTTTAAAAAATTCTAGAAATGAGGTTCATATAGCCCAGTGGTTATCAAGCAGGGGCAATTTCGTCCCTGGGAGTATTTGGTGGCGGTGGTGGTGGTGATTAGGGTGATGAGGTGGTGATTGGCATCTAGTGAGTTGAGGCCAGCGATGCTGCTAAACTCCTACCATGCACGGGACAGCTTCCCAGCAAAGAATGATGCTGCCCCAAATGTCAGCAGTGCTGAGGTGGAGAAAGCTTGCGTATAGAAGAGCACACCTCGGTTCCCGAAAAATGTCAGATTTAAATATGCTGCAGCCTTGGATTATTGCTTGTGTGTGTATGTGTGTGTGTGCGCGCGTACGTGTGTGCGTGCCTGTGTGTGCGTGTGTGTGTGTATGTGTGCGTGCATGTGTGTGCGTGTGCGTGCCTTGTGTGTGTGTGTGTATGTGTGTGTGTGCGTGCGTGTGTGGATGCCTGTGTGTGCATGTGTGTGTGTATGTGTGCGTGCATGTGTGTGCATGTGCGTGCCTTGTGTGTGTGCGTATGTGTGTGTGTATGTGCGTGTGGAGGACACTGGCAAATAAGAATCAGAAAACCATGTTCCCCCCATGTCCCCATGTCCCTCTGGTTGATAAACTGGTTTAAAATGAGTTTAGACCCGTGTTTGAGGAAGGCAGAGAGAACAAAGAGGGAGTTTGAAGGGGGTTTAACAAATGGATTATTACAGCACCAGTATGGATTACATGAAAAATTTCAATAATGAATTTCATTCATTCATTTGTTCAACAAGGTATTATTTCTATAAGGTACTCAGCAAGTACCTGGCACAGAGTCAGCACCCACTAGACAAAAGCCATTGATATTTATTTGAAAAAGTGTACAGATGGAAGGCAACCTGTTTTTTGTCTTCGTGAAGGATAGAACGAGACATAACAGGCTTAATAAGACTTAATAAGAGGGATATAATAGAAGGAGCTTTTTGAGAGCAAAATTTAAACCCAAAACACCATGTAAGACCAGAATGTGTCTATTTGTAGGTTGTTAAAAATATATGTGCAGGAACAGCATTAGTAAAGTTTTTTTTTCCTTTTCCTTTTTTTTTTGGAGACGGAGTTTTGCCCTTGTTGCCCAGGCTGGAGTGCAATGACGCAATCTCGGCTTACCGCAACCTCCATTCACCGCAACCTCCTCCTCCCGGGTTCAAGCGATTCTCCTGCCTCAGCCTTCCTAGTAGCTGGGATGACAGGCGTGCGCCACCACGCCCAGCTAATTTTGTATTTTTAGTAGAGACGGGGTTTCTCCATGTTGGTCAGGCTGGTCTCGAACTCCCGACCTCAGGTGATCCGCCCGCCTCGGCCTCCCAAAATGCTGGGATTACAGGCGAGAGCCACTGCGCTTGGCCAGTAAAGTCTTATCTAATACATTATGCTAATTTATTTAAAGCCTCTTTTTAAAGCAATATAGAACTTTTTTCACATTGTGACCTATACAGAAAAATGCATAAATGCAAAGTTTAACAAATTGTCGTAAACGAACATCCAAATAACTCTACCAGGATCAAGAACTGGAACATAACCCATTCCCGAAGCCCTGGGCTGCCCTTTCTAGATCACAGCCTTCCTTGCCCACTAGTGCTAACCACATCTAGACTTGTATGGTATTAACTTCCTTTTGCTATAGTTTTGCTACCCAACAACACAGTTTTATCAGGCTGCTGTGAACGTCATACAATAGAATCACACCGTGTTTTCTGTATCTTGCTCCTTCTTTCAGCGTTGTATCATGAAGATTCATCCACGTTGAGTTCATCTTTAGTTGATTTCCATGGTTGCACACTCTTTTATTGAATGATGACATTGTTGTTTACCTATTCTAATATTGATGGACGGTGGGATCACTTCCAGCTTGGGGTTATTACACGCAATGACATTTGAATATTTTTGTCCGTGTATCTCGGCACATGTAAACACGTGTTTCTGGTTTGGTTGTGTTTTTAAACCTAGGAATAACATTGCTGAGCTACAAGGAACGTGTGTCTTGGTCTTGAATATGCCAAACTGTTTTCCAAAATGATCGGACCCCATTTACACTCCCCTGGTGGTAATGATGTTCTTTTTACTCCACATCCCCTGATAACTCTTGGCATCATCGGACTATTTTTGTCGATATGGTGGGCGGATAATCGTATCTCATTGTGGTTTTAACTTACACTTCCTGGTTGCTAGTGAGGTTAGATGCCTTTTCATGTTATTTTGGCTATTTCCTCTTTAGTGAGGGGCCTGATCAAGTCTTTTGAGTATTTTCTCATAGGATTGTCTGTCCTCTTCTTACGTATAGGAAGTTTTTAGTCTGCTGTTCATGAGCTGCAAATATCTTTTCCTATTCTGTGGTTTGCTCTTTCATTCTCTTTTTGAGGTCTACACCTCCAATTTAAACCTCTGTGCTCTCACTTAAGCCTGATTTCGGTTTTGTCTTTTGTTTTTTTGAGACAGGGTCTACTGTGTCACCCAGGCTGAAGTGCAGTGGTGTGATCACAGCTCACTGCAGCCTCGAACTCCAGAGCTCAAGCAATCTCCTGCCTCGGCCTACTAAATAGCTGGGACTATAGGTGCATACTACAACACAGAGCTAATTTTTAATTGATTTTTAATTTTTTTTGTGGAGATGGGGTCTCGCTATGTTGTCCAGGCCAGTCTTAAACTCCTGGGCTCAAGTGATCCTCCCACCTCGGTTTCCCAAAGTGCTGGACTTAATCCTGATTTAAAGGACTACCTCTGCAACAAAGTTCCATCCACACCCCAGACTGCAACAAAGTTCTTTAGAAAATGCTTTTCAAAAGTATTTATGAGTAATTAGTGAGTTTCAGTGGAACCGTAATCCATTTTTTAAAAGTTTTTAGGATACTCCCTGGTGGTCTAGTGGTTAGGATTCGGCATTCACTGTCGCAATCTGGGTTCGATTCCCGGCCAGGGAATCTGGGTGGGTGCTATGGCTCACACCTGTAATCCCAGCACTCTGGGGGGCCGAGGCAGGCAGATCACCTGAGGTCAGGAGCTCAATACCAGCCTGGTCATGGTGAAACCCCGTCTCTACTAAAAATACAAAAAATTAGCCAGGTGTGGTGGTGGGTGCCTGCAATCCCAGCTGCTCGGGAGGCTGAGACAGGAGAATCACTTGAACCTGGGAGGCGGAGGTTGCAGTGAATGGAGATTGCGCCACTGCACTCCAGCCTGGGCAACAAGAGGGAAACTCTGTCTCAAAAAAAAAAAACAGTTTTTAGGTCGTTTAAAAGAAATTCTGAGTATGACATAATTATAGATTCACAGGAATTTGCCAAGACAGGTACATCTCTCATGCCAGTTCTGGGTTCCATCCTCCAGTGCAATGGCAAAGCAGGAAATTGACGTTGGCATGGTGTGTGTGTGTACTCTGTCCCTTTGTCACGCATGTGAAATCGTAAAACAACCAACACAATACAATCAGAACTTTCCATCACCGCCAAGATCTTCTCCCACTACTCCTTTCTAGTCAGGTGCTCTCCCTCTCCCCAGCATCCCCTGGCAACCACTTATCTGTCTTCCATCTCTATACTTTTGTTATTTAAGGAATATTGTATAAATAGAATCATACAGCACGTGTCAAGCTAAATCACAGACAGAGAAAGAGGCTCTCTAAAAGATTATGGTATTTTTTTCAGGAGTAGCATTGCAGTGGGAATATGATGGGTGTATTCAGGGAGGTAAAGGTGACAAGAGTTTTTAAAAGAAAAAATGAGGGGCTGGGCGCAGTGGCTCATGCCTGTAATCCCAGCACTTTGGGAAGCCGAGGTGGGTGGATCACCTGAGGTCAGGAGTTCGAGACCAGCCTGGCCAACACGGTGATACCCCATCTCTACGAAAAATACAAAAAGGTAGCCCAGTGTGGTGGCACGTGCCTGTAATCCCAGGTACTCGGGAGGCTGAGGCATGAGAATTGCTTGAACCTGGGAGGCAGAGGTTTCAGTGAGCCGATATCGCGTCCTGCACTCCAGCCTGGGTGACAGAGCAAAACTCTGTCTCAAAAAAAGAAAAAAGAAAAACTGAGGAGGATTATGTAAGTTATTTTGAAACAATGATCCTTTGCTACAAAGATCAATACCCGCAGAAGTATTTTTTTGTGTAAGACACGGTAGCCTTTGTGCAAGGCTGTGGTTTCTGCAGTCTTGTGATAGTTGTTTTTATCAGGCGTGCATGCATAAGAAACCCTCTTGATGGCCTTCCCTGGCTCCATTTGTCAGGGTTTTTAAAAATAATTTTGAGACAGAATCTCCCTGTGTCGTTCCGGCTGGAGTGCAGTGGCCTGATCTCCGCTCGCTGCAACCTCCGCCTCCTGGGTTCAAGCGATTTTCGTGCCTCAGCCTCCTGAGTAGCTGGGATCACAGGCAGCCGCCACCATCCCCGGCTATAGTAGAGACGAGGTTTTGCCATGTTAGCCAGGCTGGTCTTGAACTCCTGGCCTCATGTGATCTGCCCGCCTCGGCCTCCCAAAGTGCTGGGATTACAGGCGTGAGCCACCGCGCCCGGCCCATTTGTCAGGGTTTTGACACAAGTTACTCCATTTTGATTCTGACAACTTTCACAATCGTGAACTTTTCTAAGATTTTGCTTTTTCACTCAGCAGAATGCCCTTGATAGTCATCCAAGTTGTTGTGTGTTTTAATGATTCATTCTTTTTCCTTGCTGAATAGTATTCCACGATACGCTTGTGCCATGGTTTGTTTTACCATGCACCCATTAAAAGATATTTTGTTTGCTTTCTGTTTTGACTATTACATATAAAGCTGCGAGGAATAATTATGTACAGTTTTTGTGTGGGCATGTATTTTTGCATCTCTATGAGAAATGCTCAGGAGTGCAATTCCTGGGCCATATGTTTGGTGCTTGTTTAGTTTTTAAGAAGTTGCCAAACTATT